ACCTGGGCATGCCAGCTTTGAACTTGGGATCCTCCTGCTTCAGCCTCCTCCATAGCTGGAATGACAAGGCTGCACCACCAACTCAAGCTCCGGTGGCTATTCTCTGACAGTCTGGCTCCAGACCACGTGGTGGGTCCAAACAGAATTAAACAGGCAGGTGGCGGCTATGAGGAGGGACGAAGGTGACCCCGGCATTCATATGCATGTATCAAGAGAAAATTGCAGGCTGAGACCTCTCTCACCACTGCTCTGCCCACAGACCTATGCCCTGCTCCAGGCACCAGGGACAGAGGACAGACTCACTCGCAATCCAATTTGTTATACTTCTACCTTCCAAGGAGAGAAGTGAGGGCGATAAAAAAAAAGAAGAAGAAGAAATCCCATTATCTTTATCTGTCCTTCCCATCACCCGGCAGAAAAAATGCAAACGGGGAGAGACAGCAGCCACGAACTCTTTGTATTTCACCCAGAAGAGGGTGTATCTTTTATAGCATGCAGGGATTTCTTATTAGAAAAAAAATCCTTTCGGAATGACTTCAGTAGCAAGACAGAGGTGGGTGGCAGAGTTCTGGGGGCTATTGACAGAGCATTGGCTTAAACCAGAGGAACCTCTGCAGGTCACAGACAGTCCCAGAGGCAGAAGAAAGGCCTGTGGATGAGACTAGGGAGAAAAATGGGCCTTCTCTCCACATCCCTGTGGTGAGACATGGACCTAAGCACTGCGCCTCTCTGAACTACCGATTCCCCGCTTGTGCTAGGAAGTTAAGGTAAACATTTTTATTCCCTTTGGGGAGTAGGAGATATGAAGAAGCATTCCTTATCTCAGAAAGGCAGTGATGGGCTTCTCCTAGTCTCCTAGCCACCACTCCTGGCAGCTAGCTTACTTACAACAGGTGAGCTCTGAGGATGGACGGAGAGTTGAGATGCACCCCTGTTCAAGTACTCCAGGGTGAGCCATGGCTGTGAACTGATGGGCTCAGCTCATACATTCAGAGTGGAGTGCCATCCGGACACTGTGCCTTGAGAATCCCACACTCCTAAAACCTGTGTATGTGACTATCTTTCCTTCCATACACCCCAGCAGTCTGTAATCCAGGCAGACCCTTTCTGTACTGTGGTGCTGAATTTTAGGTGTTAACTTGGCAGGGCCTAGGTACCAGGACACTTGGCAAAGCATTATTCAGTCTATTTGTGCAGGTATGAGTACATAAGATTAACATTGAAATCCAGGGATTTGAAGTAAATCAACTACTTTCCAGAATGTGGGTGGGTTTCATGCAATCGGTTTAAGGTCTGCAGAGAGCCAAAGGCTGCCCATCCATGAGCCAAAGGAAATTCTGTATGCAGATGGGCATAAACTGTTCCCTGGGCCTCCAGCCTTCCAGTGCATCCTGCAGAGTTTTGACTCGTCTACCTCCAAAATGATATGGTCAATTCTGTACAAGATGTCCCCACACACACAGAGAGAGAGAGAGAGAGAGAGAGAGAGAGAGAGAGAGAGAGAGAGAGAGAGAGAGAGAGAGAGAGAGAGGGAGGGAGAGAAAGAGAGAGAAATAGACAGACAGACAGAGAGTTATGCCCTGAGTTATACCCAAATAAGCACGCCCTAAGAGGACCATGTAAGTAAAAATAAAAATGCATCCTAACTTACCCCAGCTTAAACACTAGAGCACTTACAGACCCCACAGTTGGGCCAAGTTACCTGAACAAAGCCTGCTTTTTCTAATGTGGTGAAGATCTGTACAGGGTAGGGCACACTACTAGAGGTGTGCAATAAAACAATGAATGAGTATGGGCCATACCACTATACAGGTGGGATGTTGGCTCTGTTTCCTTCAGATCCTGCCAATCACCACTGCATACATAGCTACTTTAACATCTGGGTCGGGACAAGGCTCATGTAGAGATGAAAGGAATGCTGGGAAACCTCCCATCCCAGCAACCATGAGTAGATGTGCTGGGGACAGCAGCAGCAGGCTGGACCACTGGGGAGATGAAAATACAGTTCATGCCAGGGAGGGGTGGGCTGGGTATGGATTTCTTTAGGATGACAGTAGACGTGTTAGAAGGCTTTCTTGCTTCAGTTGAGTCTGGGACAGGGGCTGGTCATCTGGGGAGAGGAGGCAGCTAGTGCTTCACCATGGAAACAAGAGGCTCAAGGAGATGAAGTAGAGAGTGTTGTGCTATCTTGCCTCAGCCCAGGGCTGATAAGGTCTCACCCCATCTGTGTGCCAGGGGCACAGTTGCCTTTGACATAGACTGGTTTATGGTAACAATGACATCCTTTTTTTTATATATATATACTCGATTTAAGCTTTCAAAGCACTTTCATTTCCATGGACAACTTACCTCACCTCCCTCTCCCCACAAGGCCAGGCATGGAAATGACTTTTGGGTGTCTGAGAAGGCTTCAGTTTCCATGCTTTACAACCTAGTTTTGGTCTGAAGAAAACCAGAGTTTGGGAACTGCTCCTTTAATTAAAAATAAAAAGGAACCCTGGGAAAAAGAACACACAGCGGGGCTAGGAGAGAGGTCCTTGGGAAAACTCAGCAAGACAGTGAGGCCTAAGTTTACACTGGTTTATGGATCCCTGCTATAGCTGTCTTGCTACAGGGTAGTGTGATTCCTCTTAGGGTAATTTCAAGAGCACCAAAGTGGGAGAGAGAATCTGTTCTGGCACTTGAGCATGGGTTACCAGGGAGTTCTGCAATACTGGAGACCTGTTCACTCAGAGGGAGGTGGCCTTTCCAGGGCCTCTGCAACCTGTTGGTTGAGAGCACAGCCACCCTCTGGCAGGCCCTGGGATTAAGCATCCCTCCTAATGGAGAGAAGGAAATGATTTCTTTGGGTGCTCTAGCTTCTATTCAAGATGGCCCCTGACTGGCTGTGGGACACTCTACACTTCTTCACTGAAGACATACTTGGTGGGTTTGCATCCTCTGATCTCTGAGGGAAGCAATTCTCCAAAACTAGCCAGCAGTTTTCTCCTCTCCCATATTCAGGATGGGAAATCTTTAGGAAAAGAAGATTGGTCATAAACAGCAGCCACTAGCCCTGACACATGGTCTCTCTAGGACAGCCAGCAGGCACAGGAGGTACACACTTCCTCTTTTAGGAGTGTGATACAAAATGCTGGTCCCACCCTTCCTGAATTCCATCAGGGCTGAAGCTCACACAACCGCCCACTGACTTTCAACGTAGCAGAGAAGCTATCTCCCAGCGGCAACTGAGCCCTACGTCTTCAAGTGCAGTAGGCTACTGCTTGACTCCTAATGAAGCCACCCTATTCTCAAGCACAGTACACATGCTCAGTGGTCCCTTTGCCTTCCAGCACCCATGCTCTCCACCAGCTCTTCCCAGACCCCCACTTATTTCACAGACACTAACAATGAGGAGATTTGGGTGGCCCCACCTTGGGCTCATAGATGAAACAACAAAACAAATGTTGGTGTTAACTGGTTATCCCACCCAAGCCATTAGAGAGTACTCTGCAATGAGGGATTTGCATCAGAGCCTTCCATCCTGCAAGCCTTTCATTCCCCACTGGCTCTACAGCAGGGGCCTTTTCTCCATTAGTCCTTGGGGCCCCTCAGGGCAGCAGACATGGGGCAAATATGCATACAGAAGCCATACAAGCCCACCCCAGTTCTAAGGATTGGTGTCCCTGGGACACATGCATGGATGCACACCCACAACTGCCCTGGGGCATAGACTCCTGCATGTCCTAAGAGCAAGACACTTAGAGACACCTCCCAAGAAGAGGGGCATAGGGCCCTGCACACATCTAATCTTAAGTCTAGTGGGCCAAGACAGGGTTAAGAGGGGATACGGGACATTCAAGGAGATTAATGGAACTTCCTGATGCTCAGGATCTTTAGGTATCAGAATCTGGGGCGGTGGGGGGGTGGGAGGTGGCAGTCAGGGTAGGGAGGCTGAAAAAATCACCCTGGATTTGAGCAAAATCATAGATGCCCATCTGTCTTATTCGACTTAGCAGAAGCCAGCTTAGAGCCCAGATGGGTGCTCAGGGCTTCTGGGGGGGTCTTCCCACCCCCCATGTTTCCAGGACTCAACGCCATCCTCATAACCCCCCAGGATCCACAAACAGTCATAATCCAGTGTCCTTTGCAGAATCTTCCCACCTCCCATGGCCCAGACAGGCCACACAAATCTTTCAATGTATCCCTCCCGCTGAACTCTTACTATGAAGTAGTTGCTGTAATTATCTCTACCTCATAGGCAAAGGAAGAAGGCACAGACAGTGTAAGTACTTTGGACAAGGTTATACAGCAAGGACCTAGAGACATCAGGCCTTGCATCAGATACTACAACAATGCTGGAATTGCCCTTTTCCATCCTGGACTCTTCAGAGCCTCCTCCAGAGGATATCTCAGTATGACATTCTGCAGAACACTCAGGCAAAGTACAAATGGCCCTGGGTGGAATGCCCTTGTTTATACAGGCTATGCCATCTCTTCATGGCACATTGAAACACAGTGTCATCCTCCTCCACAGCGGGCCGTCACATCTCATTTTCCTCTATTCACTTTCTCCATCCTCCATGGCTGACCCAGATCCCCTGAGCTGTGAGTATTCAGCAAAAATTATAGGCACAGCACGGAGGGGAGGGAGAGCCAGGAGGGAACAAAGGCAGTGTCGAGACCTTGGCCACAGGGACCGGGAAGAGCAGACTTTGCCTTTACATCCCTTCATTTAGATATGACACCAGCAATGTTAGCCCTCCACCACTCACAGCACCACAGAGGCATTCCCTGCCAGGAAGGGCTGCCAACAGAGTACCTGCTGGCCTTTGCCCCCTCTTCTGTTTGACGATCATGGACCATCTCCCACCAATTCCAAAGGCAAACTCAGCCTGCCTCCCTCCACCCACTGCTCCTTCTCTGTTCTCTAAGCCCAGCTCCACTTACTGCTGACCCAAGAAGGTCTGAAGTCACCAAGGCCAGCCACAGGGATAGCCTTGGGGAAGCAGCCCTCTTACCCAGGTCCATGTCTGCAGCCTTGGGCCGGTGGGAGCATGGCACATTCTTGAAGATGGCATCCAGGATCTTCTCTTTGACCTGAGTGATGGTGTCACAGTTGAGGATCTTCACTGGGACCTCTGGGCTGTTGGCATTATCTGGGCTGACACAGCTCAGGACCTGAGGGGGGCAGGGAGAGGTCACATGGATGAGGACAGTGGCAAAGATTCCCAGAGCTCAGCAGCATCCTGGATCCTTCATGAATGACTGCTTTCCATGACTGACTAGAGACAGGATGTCACCATGCCTTCAACATCACTGCAGGAGTATAAGCTGTACCCATTAACTCCCTATCAGGATGAATGCTCTAATTTCCCAAAGGGAACAGTGTTCTGTGAAGAAAGTGATGGCGGGAGGGAGTCTGTAACAGAACAGATATAGAAGTATGCACACATGTACAGTCCCTCACTTGTATACCTAACATGCCTAGTCCTCACGAACTCCAAACTTCATGTGTCACTCTTTTTATTGTTCCTCTAAAACACAATCCTGTCTCCGTCTCTGTCTCTGACTCACACACACACACACATACACACACACACACACACGCGCGTGCATGCACTCATACACGCACGCACACACACTCGTATACACCCTCACACAAATGCTCCATACTAATGAGAAACTGGGCTCCTGTTTTAAAAGATTTAATAGCTTTGGTTTCGGGAAACGTTTCGGGCTGATTAGGAGCTGCTGGATCTATTAGAAACCCAGTGTATTCTTTAAGTATAAAAAGGTGCCCTTTAAAAACTGCAGCTTCGGGCCCCCCAAGAGGCCTCCATGACTGTGAACCTGGCTCTCTGGTCAGGTGACGAGGCCGCTGCTAGTGCAGGCCTCCAGTTCTCATTTCAGAGAGAGCAGAGAAACTGAAACCATCTGCTGTTTCCCTCCTCTAAGATGTTCAAAGCACCCACCGGCCATCCTCACAGGTGTTCTTTCTGTATTGCTGACATTTTGGGGCTCCCTGGGTGGACCTCAGTGGAGCAAGAACGGGGCTGTGGGGTACAGGAATGGTCAGGGGTGTATAAGAGCTAGGCCTGGGTACTGGGGGACTTGAGGCCAGATGTCTTGCAGCTCTGGGTTCCCAACTAGCCTTTTGTCCCCGGAGCCTGAGTGCTCTGTGTCCCTCTCCTTCTCAGAAGTTAAACACCCCACACCCCTCCCAGTAACCATTTCCCAATAGTCCCATCTGGCTTGCAGAGCCAGACTCCAGCCCTCCTCCTGCTCCATGTGGTGGTAATCAGAACCCTGGGCCTGGATTCCTGCCTCTCATTAGCAGCTAGACTGCTATGAGCACAAATGGGGAACATGCGTATTCCATTAAGAAGAAGGGAGGGAAAAACCCTAAATCTATAAAAATCATACTCTCACCTCCAAAATGTCCAGAACTGAAAATAAGGGAGGCCAGGCCTCCGAGCTGAACGTCTATGAGGGCCTTCTCCCAGACACTCCCTCCCTCTCTCCTAAGAACCTTCTGCTCCTCCTGCTCTGACCATTGTCCTTTGCTAAGTCAGTGATGGGCAGTTCAGCCTCCCCTAGGCAGCAATATAGCCTTGTCCGAACTATTTCCCCAGCAGGACCATGTAGCAGAGACTGGTACTTAAGGGTGACCTCTCATAGCATGCTTCAGGGCAGGCACCTATCTTCCAGAGAGAAAGCAGTAGCCCACAGAGGAAAGGGTCCCAGGCTCAGAAAAAAAATGTCTTCTGCTCCTGGCTCTTAACTGCTTCAGAACCATCCACCTGCTGCTGTCTCTGCAGGTTCCCAGAGAGGCTCTAGCCATCTGGTAGACTTCCAGGGAACACTTAGCATTCTATCAGGTTCCTGGGAAAGAATGCAGCCTTCAAGTAGGCTCCTGGGGGGGACATCTAGACAGCTAGTGAACTCCCAGGGGACATACGTCTAATACTCTGACAGGTAATCAGGTATTCGTCTTGTACCCTAGCTAGTTCCCAGATATCTAGAACTCAAGCAGGTAACCTGGCACACATCTAGTCTTCTAGGAAGCTCCCTGGCAGGTAACCAGGTGAGTGTCTAGCACTCCAGCAGGTTCCCTGGTATTGCAATGTAAATCCTGGAGCGCTCCCATGCTGTGCTAACTCAACTTCCATCAGGATAAGGTCACCAGCAGCAGAGTTCCCTGGCTCCCCCAGTCACTGCATGTGCCCTTTATATTTGGGCTGCCCAGCAGGATTGTCTGCTGCTCATCTGTCCTGGTGCAGGACCATTCTCTTGCATCACCACTGGGTGGAGTGTCCCCTTCACATGTAGGAGCACCCTTCCCCACAGCCTTGCCACCTCCAAGCAAAATAATCACCCATCCCCCTCCTTTTCTGCCTGTCTTTAGAGGTTTCCAACTTAATGATTTCTCCCCGTTCTCTGTAAGTCTGTCACCGGACATCAGCTGGGCACAATCTTTCGGCCCAGGCTCATGAAAATAACTGCTGCTGCAATTTGGGGACAGGGAATGATTGTGATCTCAACTCATTGTGTTGTAAGGGGATGGAGGAGGGTGGGACAGGAGACATTTAAAGGTTTTCCTCTCTCACTAAGAAATCCATTCAAGCCTCTACATTTGGAAGGGTGTGTTCCCTCTTCTCCATTTTAATTGCAGTCTCTGTCCTTCTTCTACGAGCTGGGAACTGAGAGGGAGCAGAAACTGCCCTCACATCACAGGCTGTGCCTTTGGGTTCTCAGGAAGTCAATCTATTGGGATTCCTGGAGCCCTTAAAAAGATGGGAACCGGAGAACCAGAATGGTTTTCCCGCAGGCAGGAATAGCTTTGTTCTGAGGAGAATCATCTTCCTACCTGGCCACAGGATCTGAGCGTGCCTACGTGATCATCGGCCCCTACCAGCGTGACCTCCACCCTCACCCCTACCTGGCCGTGCCTACTCAGTTCAGCCCCTGTCTGTCATCACACCCACACACCCGCTGAAGAGTGGCTGAGATACCGCTGAGCCTCTGGCTACCCTGGTGCCTAGGCCACAGGATGCAGAGGAAGGCACACAGGGGAGCACCTGCCTGGACCCTACAGCAGACAGAGTTGCAAAGGTCACTCGTTTGTCATGTTCACCATTCCTTCTTCAGGGCAGAGCTGCCCGAGTGCCAAAGCTGACCTACCAGAGCTGAGGGGAGCAGGGAGAGGGCTCACCAGGGTCTTGTATTCGATCTGCTGCCGGATGAGCTTGTCCTCACTCAGGGAGTAGCGGGCCTCTCCTGTGATGGCGTCGATGGGGCCCTTCTCCATCTGCTGCTTGATGGCACAGAACAGGGAGAAGAGGGGCTCCCCGGCGCACTCCTGCATGAGAGAAGATTCCTGCTATTAGAGTGCAGGGGTCAAAGGTATGCGGGGCCCACTCTGCTGGCTGGCCTTGCTTTCCTGGTCCTGCTTGTTTTTTGGCTCCCATTTCTTCTTCTGTGCTCTTCAGATTTGCGTGGGTTCCCACCTTGTGGACCCAGGCGACTCTGTTCCTTCCTGCACCTGTCCAGAACCTGTCCTCCCTCCCTCCCTCCCTCCCTCCCTCCCTCCCTTCCCCCTTTCTCCTATCCTCCCTTTCTCTTATCCTCCCTGCTCCTTCTCTCCCCCCAACCCCATCCTGCTTTCGTTGGGAACCAATCAAGAAGCAGAGATTGGTTCTCTGAAGTTCACGACTGGAAGCCCAGCAGCTTGGCTCCTCTGCTGCCCGGGCTCGTTCTCAGTTTTTCTATCTGCAGCAGCATGCTTTATGTGCCTGCCCTAGGACCCTTCATCAGCACCCGTAACCCTGGTGCTGGGGAAAAGGAGGTGCTTGGGATGGGGGGGAGGAAGCAGGGGACTCAAGGGTGACTTGCGTTCAGCTGAGATGGGAATTTAGCTTTAGGACCACATGGAGCCCCCTGAGCAGAACATTAAGCCCTCACTTGGGAGGAGCTAGGGAACTAGCCACGGGTCTGTCTTCAATTCAGTTTCCTGATGACAAAGGACTGTGTTTCATGTGGGCTGGGTGTTTCGGAGAGGAAGAACCGTAGTTGAGCTGGAAATGTGTCCTCGTCCCGTCCTACCTTGAGGAACTTGTAGAGGAGAAAAGTGAACCAATTGGTCAGCATCTTCTCAGCCACCGACTCTGTCCTGCCATGGTCACCGAGGGGATGGGGGAAAGAAGACAAACATGGCTGGTCAGAGGCCCTGAGCTGAGTAGATCGAGGAAGAACCCGCCACCATCTTGCTGATTACGGTGTCTGGCGACCTAATGTACAGGAGAACCTTGCAGCGTGCCAGGCCCCTGGGGCTGAGAACAGAGCTCTTTCTGAAAATCTGCCTTCTGGGCATGCATATGCTGCAGGCCGGTTTTTCCTTGTCTACAGAGGTGCACTTCACAGCAGTGGCAATGGTCTGCACCTAAGCTGTCCACTTGCTACTGGTCACATGTGCCTACTGAACACTTGAGATGTGGCCAGTGTGTCTGTCCGCTTCACTGAATTTAGATTTATGTCATTGCATATGACCGAAGATCTCCTGTTGGATAGTACAGCCTTAAAGTAACTTGGGGAGAGACTGATAAAGAAAATCAAAACAAAAGGCAGGGGGATCTAATTAGGCAGGGCATGGGAAGGATCGCATAGGAAGGTGATCAGGGTAGAGAGACAAGGTATTCCATATGGAGCCTGTTGCCTGGTCTAGACTCACTGCGTTGGCAGCATACAGAGGGGGACCATGGCTCATCCACAGATATGTTACCATTGTAGTATCTCAAAGGCTGCTGCATACTTTTAAGGAGAGTTTCTGCAATGGCAGGGACTACTGTTTGAATATAACTGGCATCTTTTAAGTCATGACTCAAGCCTACTTATTCTTTTCTTTTGTGAAAGAAGATGCCCCCGCACAGTGGTGGTACATGCCTCTAATCCCAGCACTTGGGAGGCAGAGGCAGGCGGATCTCTAAGTTCCAGGCCAGCCTGATCTACAATGTGAGTTTCAGATTAGTGAGGGTTACTCAGAGAAACCCTGCCTCGAACAAGCAAAAGAGAAAAAAGAAAGGAAGGAAGGAAGGAAGGAAGAGAAAGAAAGAAAGAAAGCGAGGAAGGAAGGAAGGAAGGAAGAAAGGAAGGAAGGAAGATTCCCTGGTTCCCTGGCAGTGTTACTGGTTTGAGCTGCACCCATTCAGGGTTTGAAACTTGTGCTGAGAGTATGGTCAATGCCAGAGACAAACTAGAGGGTCTAGACAGGTTTGGTGAACTTAAATACACAGTTGCTAAGAGAATACTGGTAACTGAGACCTCCAGGTGTCTGGACAGCTGCGGGTATTCAGTGAAGCCAGGGAAGAGACAGAGGAAGAATATTGGAGGTGGGGCAGGGAGGAGCCAGGGGCAAGAAGAACATAACGAAGCAGGGAGGGAACATGCCAGAGCATCCGGGGAGCACAGGCAGAAAACAAGGAGAGGAGACCGAGACCCCGAGCGAGACCATGAGACCATGCCAGGAAATTGTCAGTGGGAGTGCTGGCAGGCAGCGGCAACCCTAGAATTATGCCAGTGGGTGGCTGCATGGTGAAAGTAAAACAAAAATCAAGATTATCTACCTTGCCGTTTGCAGAGCTGTGGGATTCTCCTTGGCACCACAACCTTTTGCAGCTGTGCAGGCAAATGTGCACCAACCCCACCCCACCCCACCCCCCAAAAAAACTTAAGGCAAACGATTTGGAAAGCTAAGTCTATTTATCTGCAAGACAGGGCAAGCACTATTGAGGCCTGGAGTCTGACTCAGAGACGACAGGGTAGAGGTCAGGAAGAAGGATGGAGTGGTCTGGGCAGAGAGCTGGGTGTGGTGGTTTCTATGGTGCCTTCTAACTGCAGTGGTACCACGGCTGGGCATTGGAATAACAGCTGAGAAGAGAAATGGGCACCCATTTGAAGGGTGCCCATACAGAACAGGAGTCCTGTGTCTTCTAAGCAAGCCAAAAGCTCAGGGTAGGAATGATTGACACTTGTCTAGCCTTGTGGGTTTTAGAAGCACATGGTAGGAAGCACGTGTCATGGTTCAAACGAGATGCTCCCACAGGTTCATGTATTTGAATGCCGGGTCCTCCATTGGTGGTGACACTGTTGGGGGGATGCGAGGGCTCTTGGAACCTTTAAGAGGCGGGACCCTGCTGAAGGAAGAGGGCCACTGGCCACATAGCCACCATTACCTTCCTCACCGAGATGGACTTTATCTCCTCAAGCCATGAGCCCGAATAAACCACTCCCACTTAAACTTGCTTGTATCAGGTGTTTGGACACAGCGATGAGAGACCTAATAGCATCTAACTTTGTTCAGCAGGGAATCCGGAGCCTGTTAACAGGGGGTCAGGATGTGCTTGCTGGGCTGGACTGAGTCAGTTGTCCCCAAAGACTTTCACTTCCTGCTTCTCGAATTATAACACACAACCAAGTTACTTAGTTCCCTGTTAAACTGTAGATTCTCATCAGGTCTGGGAGGGGCCCAAATGACTTCCTTTCTATTGTCTTGTATGCTGCTCTTGTTGCTGGCCCATGGACAGCCTAAGGTCTTTTTCTATGTGTAGTCCTGGCCTAAATGAGGCCAGGTCATGGCCTAACTGATCTCTAACTCAGGACTACAGGAGACAATGACATCAGGGATCAGAAGGACAGGGGTATAATAGGAAGTGGATATGTGGTGAGCTAGGCTGTGGGCATGCAGGCAGTGGGTGGCACTGGCCTCCCACAGGTCAGTGTTTCACCCTTAGGAAGCATAGCTGATCCCTCTGCAGCCTGCCTGGTGTGCATGAAGGCCTCCAGGAGCCATACATGAGGGTTGGGCTGGGGTAGGAGTACTCTGACCCCTTTGGGCCACTGTAGGCCTCTCTCACCTCCTGAGCAGCAACTTGGGATGGTTCTTGCTCTCCAGGTTCTTATCAATGAGATCAGCCAGTAGTTGCTTCAGCACATCTGTGGCATACTCTAGCTTGCTCTGAAGTACCGTCATGATGAGAGAGGCCACGTTACCTCGGTCGCGCATGGAAAAGCTGCGCTGAGACTCAAGGGTGCGGATGAAAGACAACAGGAACACCTTGTTGTTGATGAGCTGGGCAAAGAGCTTCAGGCCTTTCTCCACACGCTCCTGCCGGTAGCCTGGGACCTGTAGGGAGATTTGGGGCCCTAACATGAGCTTCTGGGTGTCCCATTTACTGATTCACAAAATAGGCTCCCACTCTCTCTAGTCTAGGCACAGTTGATCTGGCTAACACTGTCAAGGCCTTCTCAGGAGTCAGGCATGCGGCCTAGTATATTTTTAACCTTCATCACAGCCCACAACGTAGGGAAGTAGCTGCAGTTTTGAGACACAGCCACTAATCCCAGAAGAGTTAGCCACAGTTCCTAAGAAGTAGCCATGAGATTTGAACTCACCTGTGCTAGACTCTAGATGCTCTTCCCTGATGGTGATGCCTATGACCTAGACTATCTCCTAACTCTATGGAGCTCTGAAAGCCCAGAACTGCTGTGGTTTGTAACCTGCCTGAGGGATTACCAGGCCTGGTCTCCCAGCTAACCTAACATCCCCAAAAGTCCTGTGGCCAAACAATCAAGATTACTGGGTTTCCCCTGGACTCTGTCACCACCACACTCCGTGTGCTAGTTAGGGTTTCAGTTGCCGTGAAGAGACACCACGACCATGGCAACTCTTATAAAGGAAAACATTTAATTGGGCACCTTACAGTTTCAGAGGTCTAGTCAATTATCATCATGACAGGACATGGTGGTGTGTAAGCAGACTTGGTGCTAGAGAAGGAGCTACATCTTGATCCTGAAGGCAATAGGAAGTAGTCTGAGTGTCACACTGAGTGAAGTTTGAGCAACAGAGATCTCAAAGCCCCCCCCAACAGTGACACAATTCCTCCAACAAGGCCACACCTATTCCAGCAAAATCACACCTCCTAATACTGCCACTTCCTGTGAGCTTATTGGCGCCAGTTACAGTCAAACGACCACACTCTATAAGGTTGTGCAAGCTCATTTATCTCATATGGACCTCAACTGATCTACTTTAGGAAAGGGAGAGACAGGCCTCTAAGGAGCACCCTGGTGTTCTCTACCCAGGGAAAGAGAAGGAAGGTGACTCTACCTTCTTCCCTGCAGGGTAGGGTGCTTGGGAAATCCCCAGGAGGGTACAATCATCTTGAGAGACACTTGTTGACCACTTGGCTGAGCATGGAGGACAGTCCCTGAGATGTCCAGAAAGGCACAGTAGCCCTGCTCAGAGGAACCTCGGGCTGGGGCCTCCCAGTTGCCCAGCAGCAACAGAATGGATGAATGCTCCCTAGCCCTGAGAAGGAATGACGTACTACTAGCCACAGCAAAGTAGCGAATGCTATGAACGCACTGAATGAGAAGGACAGACACTGGAGTGAGCTCACTCTCCACATAGCAACATTTAAACACTGATTTGGGACAGACAGGGACTCAATGGTAATAGGAAAGTGGTTTATTGGGCAGTTGGGAGGGGCACGCAGGATTGCTGAAGACCTGGTACTACCTTTTGACCTGAACAGTGACTCGATGGGTGGGACAGGTGGGGACCTGTCAGTCACTGTGCAGAACAGTGATGCATGTGCATCCTGCTCTGCCAGTTTGCTTCTGAGAAAACTAATGAACTCTTGGGAATGCGGCCACAGGCCTGGCCCTGGTGGAGATCCTTCTTGGAACACTGAGCATGGCTTGTCTCCTTGAATGTAGTCCTAATGGTATGGTGAGGCAGGAGGGACAGCTATCAGAGGTACCAGGGAAGCAACTGAAGGGTGATGTCCCAACCCCTTGGATCTTTGAGAAGGACTGTCATGTAGGCCAAAGTAAAGAACTCAGTTTCAGAGTTGGCCAAGCTTGGGTTTAATTCTGTCACTCAGTAGTTGTCAATGTCTTTGCCATATAAGTCCAGTTGTTGAAAGAGCTAACATGAACATGGATCTTCCTCTATGACAAGTCCTGTTTGGACTGACTTGGAAACATTGGCCCCTTTAGTCCATGCTCTAGGGTGCAGGTTCTGTTAGGTCCTCTGGGACAGCGTGAGGACAGGAGCTTCCTAAGGATCCAAAGACAGAAGCCTCCAAGCTAGGCCATGACCCGAGCAGTCAGTACTATGTCCTACTCTACCTCAGACAATTCATGAGAAGCCTGATGCACTGAGTTCCATACACAGCCAAGTCACAAAGGGCAGCTCTGTTATCCTGCTGTAACTCCCTGGTTTCAACTGGCAAGGGCTGACAGAGGCAGACAGAGAAGTTCTGCTGGTTCCAGGTCACAGAATATGGCAGAAATAGGCATTGTCCCCATGACTCAGAAGCCCCCGTGTTCTGGACTTAGGCTGAGGCACAGCAGGCTGGCATCAGCTAGAGGCCAGTTCCAAGTCCCCAGGTCCTCTGCAGGGGGCATACAGGGTCTTCATCTCTTCTGCATGGAAGGGGTCTTACGGGAGCTTTTCTGGTAGCAGCACCTTCCGGTGGTTCTGGGATCTCAGAGGAAGCCCGTCTGCTCCCAAAGCCAGTCCTTTGTCACTCCTCTGGCTGCAGTACTAATACATGCAATGACAGTCCTCAGACAAAGAGGGAGGAGGACAGAGCCAAGAGGGTACAGTGGGGAGCAGCCAGGACAACCTGGCAGGCAGCTCATCTTGGCCCTCATGACAGCCCCGCCTCCTAGTCCCTCATCGTCACAGAGGGCCCAGCCTCGACTTACCTTACACCTGGCCCCCGTGGCTCCCCATCCATAGCAGACTGATGCAGTCCTGAAATGGATGCATGGTAGCCTCGCTCTGCCGAAGCTCAGGCATCATCTGTCTACTTCCTCCTTTTTTCCCAAACCTGTGACGGCCACCTCACGCACGTGGTCATGCTTTCCGACCTCCCCTTCACCTCTCCTCAGGATGATTCTCCTGCCACTTGGACTAACTGTAACAGATAATGCCGTTTGCTGGGCTCCGTGTGCAAGGCACGGTATGTGCGTTCTTAGTGATCTTTCATAGGACAGTTGTGATCTTCTCGGTTGATAAATGGCCACACTTGTTCCCAGGCCACCTTTCTGCTAAAGGGCAGAGCTGAATTTTCAAACCCAAACTCCCCACCTGTCACCATGTCTACCCCACCGCTGGACTCAGGGTCTGTCTGGAAGCTGACACAGGCTTCTTCCCTACAGCCTTCCCAGGCACACTCTCCCAGCTGCTCGGACTGTCTGTCAAAGGGAGAGGGGGGCACGAGCAGGTTTGGCAGTACAGCGTATAGAGAGAACACTGTGCCAGCTGTGTGGAACCCACGCCCTGAAGACCCACTCTGGACCTACTGTGTGGGCTTCTCTTGAACCTTAACAAAACTATACGCCTGTGGCCAGCAAGTACCTGGGGCCCAGGGTAGTTTTGACCAGCCTCCTGCAGGAAAGACACTATGGCCAGCATCCTGGGTTCTGACATCAGATGGCATAGCAACTGGATGTGGAAGAGAACGCTAACCCCTCCAGAGTCTACTGCCTTACGTATAAAATGAGAATAGGAGGGTCTGTGTCATAATGCTTCATGAACATTAAATGAGATAATGTACGTGAAGTACTTGGCATGCAGCCTGTGCACAGAATCGGCAGCGGCTTTACTGCCTGCCTCTGCATGTCCTGGACTGCTGCTTTCTGGTCTCTGTTTGCCAGGGGTTTCTAGATGTCAGACACACATCGCTCTCTGTCCTGTGCTGGAGGTGGACATCTTCTCTCTGATAAGAGTGGAGATGGCAGTGAAGGATCTTGGGAAAGGGTATCCAGATCACCACTTTCATACTGAGCCACCCACCCCGTCCCCAGCTAAAGTCACTCTGAAACCAAATATTCTTTATTACCCAGATGGTTCCCCACTTTAGCTGAATTCTGTGCCTATAAAACTGGATAGTAAATTTTAATTGTAACCCAATATGTTAGAATTGAGGAGCCAGTGATGGGTCAAAACCAGGAGTGTGTGGCTAGAGGTTCTTTGAATGTTTTTAAAGTACTGGTACATGACTAGGGCCAGGAAAGTCTCTTCCTCAAATGCCTCCACTTGCCCCGTGTGGCCTAGTGACTTACCAAAGGAAGAGGACACGCTCCCTTCATACTTTCTGCTTTGGTCACGTGTCCCATGAAAATAAAAGGTTAGTGAAACACTGATTTCATAAAAAAAGGCTGTCTCCACACCCAGAACAACAAGGAGGAACTTTCCATAGCCAGAATAAATTGGAAACAAACAAATAATAGTCCAGTAAGACTACATAAGGTCCACAGCCCCAGGGCATGGTGTAGTTGATTTCTGGGCCCAATTTTGACATGGGCTTAGAAAACCTCTTTTAAAAGTTATATCCTCATGTAGACTTAGGATTTTGAACTAGTGAAATGAGGAAAATAACTCTATATACACATCTTGATTGAATTCTTAGGCTATTCCCTCTGCTGCATACAAATATACTATTACTGCCCTTGTTAGGACTGCTGTGTCATCTCTAGTACAGACAGACAGAGAGAAAGACAAATATTCTTTCACTCAGATGTTTCCTATACTGATACTCTATGCCAGGATCCCCACCTGGTACGAAGTCAGATCATGGTAGTGAAGCATACAGTCCATACACCAGCAACACTCATGAGCATTGACAGTGTAGCATACAGTCCATACACCAGCAACACTCATGAACATTGACAGTGTAGCATATAGTCTATACACCAGCAACACTCATGAACATTGACAGTGTAGCATATAGTCCATACACCAGCAACACTCATGAACATTGACAGTGTAGCATATAGTCTATACACCAGCAACACTCATGAACATTGACAGTGTAGCATATAGTCTATACACCAGCAACACTCATGAACATTGACAGTGTAGCATATAGTCTATACACCAGCAACACTCATGAACATTGACAGTGTAGCATATAGTCTATACACCAGCAACACTCATGAACATTGACAGTGTAGCATATAGTCTATACACCAGCAACACTCATGAACATTGACAGTGTAGCATACAGTCCATACACCAGCAACACTCATGAGCATTGACAGTGTAGCATATAGTTTATACACCAGCAACACTCATGAACATTGACAGTGTAGCATATAGTCCATACACCAGCAACACTCATGAACATTGACAGTGTAGCATATAGTCTATACACCAGCAACACTCATGAACATTGACAGTGTAGCATATAGTCTATACACCAGCAACACTCATGAACATTGACAGTGTAGCATATAGTCTATACACCAGCAACACTCATGAACATTGACAGTGTAGCATATAGTCTATACACCAGCAACACTCATGAGCATTGACAGTGTAGCATACAGTCCATACACCAGCAACACTCATGAACATTGACAGTGTAGCATATAGTCTATACACCAGCAACACTCATGAACATTGACAGTGTAGCATATAGTCTATACACCAGCAACACTCATGAACATTGACAGTGTAGCATATAGTCTATACACCAGCAACACTCATGAACATTGACAGTGTAGCATATAGTCTATACACCAGCAACACTCATGAGCATTGACAGTGTAGCATATAGTCTATACACCAGCAACACTCATGAGCATTGACAGTGTAGCATACAGTCCATACACCAGCAACACTCATGAGCATTGACAGTGATCTATCGGCTTTCCACCCTGACTTCCTCTCTGAACTATAAACTCATGAGCCTGGTGTCTGGGTGCAAATTAAAGTGAAGCTGAGAAAAGATGAAATGAAAGACAAGGAAGAAGAGAAAGGAGGATAACTAAAGACGAAGAGTTCAAACAAGGTGATGGATGGAATGAATGTCCTGAGATACCCAGTATCTTTGTGTATAAATATATGGCACATGTATAATCACTTACACACACACTCCCACAAACACACGCATATTGATAAAGACTAGAGACTCATGTCCAGAGAGAAGGTAGTGCTATTGTCTATAGTCTCTCAAAGTGCTTAATTGTGTCTATCAGTTAGAGAGGGAAGGAGAACATTTCAAAGACAGAAATACTCATTTTCTCATTACAAAATTACACAAGCACACAATGCATGAACACTTGCATGCACACACACATTCACACACACACACACACACACACACACACATGCATATATGTCTGCATCATCCAATAAGCAAGTATGGAGAAATACAGGTGACATATACATGACTGTGAATGAGCAGTGTGTACACAGCCTGCTGCAACCAAAGAAACCCATGTGAACACTTCCTCCAATATCAATATCTACAACCTGAGCAAAGGGTCTGTTTTCATTGCATGGACAATTGTGTGTACATCTTGAATTGCATCTTCTTTTCCATTGTTGCTTCATTTGTATATTCTGCTTCCTCCTGATAGGCAAGCAGAGCAACAGGACCCCAGAGTTATGGCCCACAGGCTCACAGCCAGTAGAAAACATCAAGTCTGGCAGTCTTGACTGTACTTCGGGCTCTGTCCCCAGCAGCTGTGTGTACTAGCCACTCCCTGGGCTTCTCTGCCCTCTTACTTTGCTTACTGATAAAATGGGTTCATCTTCTCATGCTGGGACGGTAGATGGCTGAATTCATGAAAAGTACTTAAAACCTAGTAGGGATTTTAATGCCTCACAACTTCTAATGATCATCCCTCAGGAGTCTTATTTTTCCCTGTTTTCCCCATTCATCGTTTCTCACTTTTATCTGGTATTTATCTTGAATAAGTCATTCTAAAGCTCTTTTGGAGTAGAGTGTAATAGGTAATAGGAATATGTGCATAAGTGAGATACCATGCTAGACAGTAGATGGGACAATGTTTTCAAAAGATGGGGTCCCTAGCAGCAGTACAACAATGGGTTGTTTTTTTTTAAATCAATCCCACTTCCACCTCCCTTTCTCACCCACCACTTGTCCTTCCCAAGAAAGCATCAAGTGGTCAAAGCCCTTATACATTTGTTGAGCACCAATTAGTTAGCAAGATCATTTATCCTGTGCTTTACTAAACACAAGTCCATGTTTATCTGGCATACTTTTTGGTTGTGTCTGCATTGGGTTGGTTTGAATGGAAATGACTCATACAGGCTCATATATTTGAATGCTTGGTCCCTAGTTGGTGGCACTATTCAGAAAGAATTAAGGGGTGTGGCCTTCTTGGAGGAGGTGTGACAGTGTGGGTGTGCTTAGAGGTATTAAAAGCCATTTGCAGCTAGATCTCTGTGTTCCATGGTTGTTGCCTCGAGACATAAGCTCTCAGTGAACACTTCAGCACCATGTCTGCCTGCTTGCTGCCATTCTTCTCATCATGATAGTCATGGACTCACCCACTGAAACTGTAAGCCCCAATAAACGCTTTCTTCTGTAAGCCACCTTGGTCATGGTGTCTTATCACTCAATAGAAAAGTATCAAAGACATGCATGTATAGTTTTTCTTGGAAGAGGTCCTCTCTACCCATTCAGTCTTATAAGTTCTATGGACACGCAAGACCCCCAAACCCTATTGAAATCTGTGCTCTGAGGCTGCCTGTTTTGGTCCTGTCTCCACCAGGAAACTGGCTGGTGTTTACAAGCTGGGGGACCACAGGAAAGGTGTGCTGCCTCCCTGGTCTCAGTTGTCTCACATCTGAAACAGAATGCCAGGGTTTCTACTGTAATACCAGCATGGGGGTGGGCACTGATTCTTACCTCCAGGTCCCGTAACACAGGATGGTCTTCAATCCCTGGGAACAGCACCCTCATGGTGTAGGTCCTGTAGTCCAGGAAAGGAATGCCAGCTCCATCCAGGTCACTGGTGAGCTCATGGATATCTGTCTGTAGCTCTGCAAAAGCTGGCAAAAAGAGAAGCCCATGAGGAGCCTGGGATGATAGCTCACTTGCTAACACACTTCTCTTGCAAATATGAAGACCTGAGTTTGTGTCCTACAACTCTTGTAAAAAAAAAAACTATCCCTGGACATGGTGTCACACACATGGAGACAGAAGGATCCTGGTGCTCACCAGCCAGCTAGGCTACCCCACACGGAGAGCTCCAGGCCAGTGACAGACCCTGGTTTCAAAAACAAAGGTGGACAAAGCCTTGAAGAGCAATAGCTGAGAATCCTGTGGGTGTGATCCTGTGTTCCTGGGAATGTGATCTGTGAACCTGTGTATACAAGAATGATGGATCTAGATGGCATTAGCATCAGAGGAAGCTGGTCTGGGGCCTCATGTCTTTCAAACTGCAGAGGGATGGGAATAGTACCTTTAGACCTGTAATGCTATTGGGGTCAAAAGAGAAAGGGCTCTGGTTTGTAAAGTGTGTTGGGAAGGGAAACATGGAAGGGCAGGAAGACAGAGAGGACAGGTGAAGAACATGACCCGATGTCTAGTGCTGCATTTTGAACTGGTTCTCTTAGCAAAGTCAAGAATAATTTCTTCAAATAAAAAAAGAGCTTGAGATACAATCCTGAACCACGTAGCTCTCAGAAACCAAACAACTCTTGGGCGGAGGGCCAGTAGTAACTTTAACCTCTGCATACATATGAAGGGGGCACCTTTGTCTTTCCTGCCTCAATGCAATGCTATCTGGTAGTGAGTTATTATTGCACGTAGGCACTGTTGTCTGTGAGGGCAGCTCAGGCCTCCAGATGGATAGAGTTACAAGGTCCCAGTTGGCCCCTAGGAAAACCTGGCATGCGACGCAGCCCAGAGCCAAAGCTGTCATACTCCATCCTGGCACAATGCCCCCTGAGGCCATCCTCTGCCACCTCAGAGCTGCAGCTGTCAGTCCTGCTAAGCTGTGGCATTCTCCTTGGTGCACGCCCTCACACACACCTGCATGCATTCATGCATGCACATACATGTACATGTGTGAACAGATTGCATTGACCCACACTTACAAAGAACAAGTCAGGGTTGTTGCCTAACCAATATTTATTTTCATGTATGTAAGCTTAAGACTAGGAAAAAAGAGTAGTTGGTGGATTCAAAAGGGACTCACAAACTCTATGTGCTATAGGGGCATCAAAGAGCAAGCCTGGTGCCCAATAGGACACGATGACATGTAAACAGGACACCAGTACCCTGAACTGCACAAAGGATCCCACAGTGTCCTTGCCAGCAACTATGGTAGAACTGACATGGGGTCTACAGGTGTCCAAGAGCCTTGATGCCAGGAGATCCCCAAGGCTTGCTGGTAAGCATTGGACACTAAAAGACCTGCAACCTCTTCTGGTGTTCCCTTCCTAGTGGCCCTGTTACATGGCTGCTGGGGTTCTAGTCATGCAGTGACACCAGAGGCAGATGCCCTAAAGCTTCTGAATGCCCTCTGATGCATGTGAGCACTGTGTGTACATAAAGGGAGCCAGGCGGCCTCTTTGGCATGCACTGTCACCAAAGCCTAACGAACGTGTATTGATGGTTGATCTTAATTGCTAGCTCTAGTGGATTGAGAAAAGCTCAGGAGATTAATGAGGCTTATCTCTGGGTGTGTCTGTAAGGGCCTTTTCAGAAACGATTAGATAGTAATTATCAATGGATTGACTTGTCCTTTGATGGACTCATAATACGATGCTGCTGTTAGGAGGGCGTTGGAAGGTGTAGCCTGGGATGACTGGGGTGGGAAGCTGTCCATGGCACTACGCCTTGCTCTGGCCCCTTTTCTGTCTCTGCTCTTCATTGCTTCCTGACAGCTGTCAGTTGAGCACTCCACCATGCTCCCCCTACTCCACAGTGTATGAACCCCCTGAAATCATGAGAAAAGAAACCCTCCTTTAAGTTGGTTCTGTTGGGTTATTCAAACACAGTACTGTAAACCAACCAACACACTTGTGCATATCCGGAGTGAACTCTGTGTGTGTGTGTGTGTGTGTGTGTGTATAGAGGTATACATGAACAGGAGTGGGGTGCACTTGTGTGAATGTGGGCCTGCATGCCAGTGAGGATGCCAGTAAGAGTGTGCAAGCATGCCAGTGAGGATGCGTAGTGGGAATGTATGTTTGCACACATGTGTGCCAGTATGTCCAAAGCTTAGATCTGAGCTGGTGTCTTCTAGAGTAGGTGTAGGTAGCTTCCTGCTGACAGTGAAATTTCCACACAAACCCTTGCCCTGGGTTTAAGCTGCCTTATAAACATGCAGAAATTGCCTTGGCATCCTGGAAAGTGCCTCCATGGCCAACACTGCAGGTCCTTTGCTATAAGAAGCCTCCTTCCATCCCAATAGCATAAGTGTCCCCATCCAGAAGCCATGGTCCCCTTGGGACTCCATGGGTTTCTGCTTGCTGAGCCTTTCTTCCTCTGGAGCTTTGAGGGGAACCTGGCACTCCTCCCCCCCACACACACACTGCCCGCTTCAGCTGCCTCCTCCTAATTGGGTAGCATCTCTGGCCAGGAGGAAAAGGAGGGAGTCAGGTCTGATGGGTATGCAGTTTCCTTTAAGTCACCATGTGCCTCCAACATTCAAAGCCTCATGCCTGCCACACATAAAAGAGATCCTAATCACTACACCTAATTAGAGGGAAGAGTACATTGCAGAGAAAAAATTAAGCAGTGTAAATATAATAAAAGGCAGTAATTAACAGTCCCACAAGGCAGATGCCAGGATGACAGCTGAAGGGTACAGAGATGGGATGAAGCCTTACCCCATCAAAAGAGGTGGAGCTTCCCCGGGAACCTGTATGATGCTGGAGCCCAGATACAGGGCTACATTAACACTGGATATATATTATCCACTGATAAATGGCTTAGCTCCTTCCTCCCAGGGTGGACTTACAGAAGATGTCCTGGGGTTATATGAGTCTGCTAGCTAAGCTGCCTTCTTGGGTTTGACATTGCTGATCTCCCTTCATGGTGGCTTGTGTACATTTTTCAAATACAAGCTGTGAAACACACTTCCTTTGAAATCCCAAATCAACCCTGCAGAATTCCCTTCCTGCTGATAGAAAAGAACTGAAGATTGCTTGCATGCATCATGTGGAGATACTCTGGTCCTCTCTGGAGGATACTGCAACCACCACCACCCCCTGGGTACTGTTCTTGGTGTATAAATGATCCCAGTGATGTATCTGGAAGGAGTAGGGAGAAAACCACAGGTGGATTGATAGACAGGGCTTTGGTCAGGACCCTGGTTAAGCTCAGAGACTGGCAGAAGGGTTCTGCAGGTAGAAAGCCCAGTCTGTAAGGCTGTCCCTTGCAGCTTGCCCGCCTGTGAAGAAGAAACATATACACATACAGCTGCTCACCCCCTGACTTGCACAAGTGCATACATGCATACACACAACCTCCAGCACTGCCACCTATAGCCCAGGCTGCTGACCTGTAAATGAAAGACACAAACACACACGTGTACATTTATACACATAACTGCCACCCACTGTAACCCCACCTGCTGGTTAATGCACTTACAAACACACATATAAATATACACATGCAAGACCTCCAGCATTGCCAAATGCTGCCCAGGCTGGTTGGTGTTTTAAAGATGCACATATGTGTATATATGTATACACACACACACACACACACACACTGACTTACACGTGATTACATGCATACATGACCTCTAATACTACTCACTGCTGCCCAGCCAAATATACATACTTGCATATGTAACCTCTGATACTACCCACTGCTACCCAGCCTGTGTGCTTGTACATGGGAGGCACGCATGTGTACACACAGACTCCACACCAGACACCAGCGCCTGAACACTCAGTACCTTCCTTGCACTCCAGGGCCACACGAGACTCAAGGTTGTCCATCTGCATCTGCAGCCGCTTCAACGTGAGGTCACTTTCTCGGGACTTGCGTTTGTAGGCGATGAGCACTGCCACAATGAAGATGATGAGGAGCCCACCAGCCACTGCGATGCTGACGATGGCGGGCAGGCTGAGTGGGCTGTCTGGGGCAATGTACACCATCCCAGGGGAATACTCCATGCCACCCACCCGTGCCTGTGGAGTCAAAGAAGAGAGGGATGGTAGCAGAGCAGACTAGGGAGGAGTTCTCAGTCAGAAGGAGAACGTGATTGCCAGTGAGGATCCCCCAATCCCATCAGTCAAATAGGAGAAAGCACGGATTGCAGAGACTACCCTTCAGCTAGAAATTGTACCCATCCTCTCACTCAGGAGGACACAGTCATCACAAGGAAACAGCTCACAACTGCAGTGTAAATACAGTGATATAGCACCAACAACTGGCTTCACCCAAGACTCATCCTTAGTTCCAAGTTGGGAACTAAGATACACAAACAGCACCATGGAGCACCCTACACCAATGATGATCCTCATCGTAAAGGCCTCTTGGCCCTAACAGACAATTGATATCGCTCTATTTAATGCTTTGCCCTTGTTGTACCAGCCGGGACAGAGGCAATGACAATACACAAGAAGCCAGTGGGATGGGAAGATGGAAACAGGTCTGGGAAGAGTTGGGAGGGAAGTTCCCGGTGGGCAGAAGTCTCTGATAGCATAGACACAGTGAGCCACTGTCACTCAGTACCCCTCATGCCTGATTCACACACAGTGGGACCCTGGTAGCCTCACCATCACTTTGTGCCTTCCGATGAGGTTGGGAGACTCGCAGAGCAGCTGCACATCCGACACCGTCACGGTGCATGGTTTCTCCCCAACCAGCACGGTGTAGTTCAGCTTCACGTTGCCGCCAGCCACAGGTGGGATCAGGTTCTTGCCCTGAACAGACAGGAAAGCCACCATTCCCCACCCCAAGTCAGGACCACAGATGCTACTGGCTGTCATGGCCTACCCAATATCCCATCTTATGGATGAACTGGGAAAGAGGCCACCATCAATAAGAAGCCGAAAGAATTGGTACACGTGTTAGATGTGATACTTTAGGAGTTTGGTCCCTAGTACTGTAAGAGATAATGGGACCTTTAAGATGTGGGCTTTAATGGAAGATTATGACTTCCCCATAACTTAAAGATCCCCTCTGGTTCCCTTGTCACATGTGCTCCAGCTAGAAGGCCCTCATGAGAACCAGGACTATTACTGACCTTTCATTTACCAGAATAATGAGGCAAGCTAAATTTTTTTCTTCATTAAGTACCCAGCATCAAGTATTTTATGACAACAGAAAACAGACTAATACATTGCACACATTAGTATCCTCTCTTCCTCCCAGGAGGAAATCAATAATTGATAATTAAAGTGCTATGGAAAGCTTATCTGGAATACCTTTAGGATGATGGGGGTGCCAGGCTTGAGCTCCAGGATTCCCGAGGGACTGAAAGCTTCAAACACGGGGTTAGGATAATAGGTGAAGTTAGTCTTGTTGAGAATTAACAGTGACTGGACATTGTCCAAGATGAAACCAAATTCTTCAGGCCTCTCAGTGAGATCTGACTGGTGCTCAGGACCCAGGGCAAGGGCTGGAGCCTGGCAGGTCATCTCAGTAGCATTCAGGACCTCACAGATCTGCAAGAGTCAGAGGAAGGGACAATGAGAAGTCACTCCACCCTAGGACTCCTGGTATGCCATCCATGCTACATTGGGTTCATATGGGAGGACTGTGGAGGAGGGCACCGAGTCATACTCTTGGCTACTCACAGATCCCTCCCTGCAACTGTCCCCTATCTCTGGCTTTTCCCAACATGAATGTGACAATGACTAGGTATGTTCTAAACTGGGTGAGGAGGGTAGGATGAGGTTGGAACCCCATGAACTGTGGAACTTCTTGGTCTTTCAGGCCTATAGACCCCAAAAGCTGAAATGGGGTCATGTCAACTCCCCTATCCCACCTTCCCAGGACTTGGAGGTATCCCATGCTATGAGTCATTGTATGTAGGCAAAGACTTGCCAATGGACTCACATTGATGTGTTCTTTCCCTCCATGCTTGGCACGGATCTGGGGGTTCTGTATGAGGTCCAGGTGAGTTCCCCAGACAGCAATAGGTGTGTTCCCACTGTCCAAAAAAGAAAGAATATATTGTGAGCCATAGCCACAGGAGATGCAATGAACACAACAACAATGATTATCAGGGTAAGCCCATGTCAATGAGGATGGGGAAGCACAGATGTGTCCTTGGAGACGAGGATGAAAAGTTGGCTGCAATAACAAGGAACCGTATCTCAGAAGCCAAGAGGGACGACAGTGGTGACCAGATATCTATATTGCTGCTTGCTGAGCTGTTCATAACATGAACATCTCATGAAGGTCCAGGTGACAGCATGGGCTTTAGTTCTCTGAGCGACCCAGACCAGAGCCAGCTGTTTCAGCCCTGGAATCTCCTCCCCTGATCCTCATCACTCTTGGTCTTGTCCTAAAATTATGGTCCTCAGCAGAACCTCCACTGTCCATGGTAATTGTGCTACAAATTTCCTCCTTGGTGGCTTCAGTCCAGCTGAGACCTATGAAAGCCATGGTCCAGGTCCAGGCACCTCTTCCAAGATGACAAGTGTGACATGCTATGAGCCAACAGTTTCCTGAGCCCTGGCGTGACACAGGACACAGACGAGTGGAATCAGGTGATTAGCCTCAGTGTGGCCTTTCACAGGGTGCTATACTCTGTGCTCAGGAACACTGAGAAGCTGGTGGGGAGAGTGGGCAGCCCTGGGCTTGGCTATGTCCTACTTGGACCAGAGTAGGCAATGACCTGATTGCTAGCCAAGAGAGTGTCATTGGCAAACATTCTGCTGTCTAAAGCAGGGCTATGTAGATGAAGTACTTCTAAGCTAGGGTTCTTTGTCACCTGTCCTCACATGGGTTTTTATCCGTCTGTCCCCTTTCCCATCTTTAAACTTCCCATTGCTTTTCTCTCTCATTGAGTGTGTCTTGCATGCCCCCGTGAGCTCACATGCACGCACGCGCACACACACACACACACACACACACACACACACACACACACACACACACACACTTCCAGGTGTGCCTGCAGGATTCCTTCTATACATAGCACAGTCCAGATGAGTTTCTGTGCCTAATCTCCCTGTCTCCAGATGTCCCAATCACTAATTCTGCACTCAGTAGAAAATGGATTCCATCATTGTCCCCAAACAGTCCAGGCACTTATAGGAAGCTCAGATCCACACACTGTGCAAAGCCCACCTCATCCTCAGATTTCCTTAACCTAAGCAAAAATGCTGGCAGTCTAGAGTGTGTGTCCAACCTCCCTCATGGCATGAGTGTGACTTGGGATACTGTGGAGGTCCAGGAAGATGGCACATTCATTTCTGAGACAATATGGAGGGAAACGGAACTCAATAAAGCCATGAAGGTCCCAGAGTATCACTGCCTAGCTTCTTGAGTGAGATACAAAGGCCTGTGTCACCTTCCTGCATCACTGGGCTCTGGGGCCAAGGCCTAACATGACTCTGAAAGGCTGTTTCCCCTTCATGTCTTAGCTAAGGACAGCCAATGGCCTTTCTCATCCCAGCAGTCAGGCTGGTTCTCTTTGGTCTTCAAGCAGAGTGTGGCCAACTATTTCTGTGAAGGGCCAGGCAGTAAATATTTTAGGCTCCACAGGCCATATGGTCTCTGTCACAATTACTCAACTCTGTGCAGTCATGAGAAAACAACTGTAGACAATACAATCAGCTAGCAGAGCCCTGTGCCAATAAAATTTTATTAATAAAAATTCAGGCAGCCAGTTAGATATGACCTTGGGTCACTGGCTTAACTTTAGCCCCCTGAACTAGGCTTGCCCCTGCCTCAGCCAGCACAGAGCACTTCTTTATTCTGTCTTCACTAACTTCACTAGTCCTGGGGCCCCTCCTGGCTGAAGTTAACTGTGGGGAGCACTCAACAGGGGGCAGATGGACAAGAAGGTGCCTTTAAGGCCCTCTGTCAGGTAAGCGACAGGAACTGAACCCGTTTCTTTCCCACCCGAAGTATTCACTGTGTTCCCCATGCAGTCCAGAACAGCGGCTTCCCAGTGATCTCCAGGGGCCCTCACAGAAGTCTCTGTGGAGCCTTCTCATCCTGATATGTCCTCCAGGTTTGGAAAAGTGGACATGGTCAGGTGCCTGCAACTTTATCTCTGAAGGGAGGCTCTATACTCCTACAGCCTGAGGGTCCTGCAGTCTCTCAGTCCCCGGGAGAATCCTCCAAAGCTAGATGTCCAGGAAGAGCCATGGCTTGCCCAGGGTGAACTACTGAAGTGCTGGACTCCCTGCCTGGGTTCTCCTTAGAGCAGCGTCCCTTGTCCTCTTCTGCCTCCCGTGTCATTTTGCTTGGTGCGTTTGTGTGGGACGCTGGGGAAGCAGTGAGGAATAGGAACCAGGCTCTGCCCAGCTGAGTCTGTTATTTGAGAGGGACAAAGGCAAGCAGGGGCCAGGACTGGTGAAGAGAGGGCTGGGAAGAGGCCTCCATCTCCCAGGCCCCTGGTTTCTCCTGGACTTTTGAGAGGGAGAAAGGGGGAACTGAGGCAGGGAGGAGAGTGGGGGAGGGGTCCTCCCACCTGACAATGCTCCACTCAGGCTCAATGCGCACGATGGTGGGGTCCTCCACGTACTGAAAGACCAGGTCCTGTCGGATCCTGGCCCTGTCCACCTGCACAGTCACCTTCATGTCCAACACCTCATCCGAGGAGGTGGTGTTGCAGATAATGTAGGATGGTGAGCGCCTGGAAGGGAAGGCAGAGTGTGGGTTCCCAGGTGTTAAGGGTCACAGGGGTCCCAGGTCAACCCCTTTCTTCGTGCATCAGGTTTCAGAGAAGGGATGGTACCCTCACAGATTGAAGTTCATGAACCAGGGACAAGGACCAACCTTTTGAGAGGCTCCTCTGATGCTACCTTTCAAAGAAGCCTGGTCTTTGGGTTGTCCTTGACCCTAGCCCCTGCCCCAATTTTAGCAAGGGTCTAGCTACATGAATCTGGTGAGGCTCCCTCCTCCATGTGTCATTTCTGGCTTGCCAACAATGAGAATCCTCTCAAGTGAGTTTGGCGGGATCGATCCCTTGCACCTCCTCCCTATGCCTCTTAGTCCTGAGCCCTGGTTTAACCATGCTTGTTGCACTGGGGTTGAGCTCCGCCTCTACCCTCTTTTGAGTCTCAACCGTTGCCACAGTCGCTTTGAACAAAGTCACCCTCACCACCCTCACACTGAGTAATGGCTTCTTGGATAGCAGTAATGCAAGACCCCAGGTGTTCTGACTTTGAATCTGTCACAGTTCTTGCCATAACCTACCCTAGGAATAAATGTCTCTGGGAACTTGGGCTCAGATTGGCCACATGTCTCACAGCATTCCTGGGATGGGCTCCCTGTAGCCCCTACTCCAGGCTCCTGGCTAGGGAAGATAATATCCCTTTGGGCTGCCGAACCCAAATGGGCAGAGGGAGGAAGGTGGCTTGCTTTGACCTTCTGGGATCACCTGCTTAGAGCACATGGGGTGATCCCAAGCGGCTCCCAGCAGGAGAGGCTCTACCCCTTGACAGGGCATCTGCTGCTTGGTCCCAAGCTGGATGCTCGGTTGCACCCCTCATCCTCTGCAAAGGGAACATAGTAATGACACCAGGCTGATCTGTGGACAGCAGCATGATGCCTCACCCACCTTCCAGGGAAGCCAGGGCAGGTATGTACTATTCTTCCCCAAAGAGAAGAGTGACAGCTTTTGGACAGCTTCATCTCCATGAGACCCTAGGTCTCCTCCCTTGTCTGGGCCCAGCGGTTACCTGTGGAAGAGGCACGGCTGGCTCCCAAACATCACCACCACATTGCTGCCTGCATTCAGGTTGGTGCCTGTGATGGTAACCTGTGTGCCCCCAGACATGGGTCCCCGAGTGGGCTTCAGGTCTGCGAGAGTCAGAGTCTGCAAAGAAAAGAAGAGGACTGAGGCATGCTGGGATAGGTGGAGGAGGCTGGAACAGGCCTTAGGCAGTGCCCCATGGCCTACTGAAGAGATGCCATCATGTGGCCTCTGCAAGCCATTTTGTATTCTTGTGTGAACAGAGCTTTCATCTCTACATGAATAATAGTGGTCATGAGAGCTGCTGTGCCCTGATTTGTTTTGTTTTTTAGTGACAGTGTATATCTCTAGTGATATAGACATATCTATAATTATCCAGTCAATGATTTTTAAAAATGGCTATCATCTGTTTCACAGAGGGGATTCAGAGGGGTTAACTGAAGTTCTCCAAGGTCACATGGCTAAAAAGTATTGTAGTTGAGACCTCACTCCACACCTCTGGTCTCCAGCCACGTCTCCAACAGACAGAGAAGGGGACCTGCCATTCCCTAAGGTCCCTTCAGGGAACCCTTCAGTGGCCAGAGCATGGGATGGGATGTGTGAGGATTGTGCCCAAGGAAGTTTTCAAGGCCTGTCAAGCCCCCTGCCCTGACTGGAGGTGCAGGCTGGGGTGGGGGCAGGGAGCAGAGCCCCAGACAGCAGGGGATTTGGAGCTGCAGTTTGTTCTTTCATTAGCATTTTAATGGAAAAACTTTCCCTGGTCCCAGGTGAGAAGCCTGTATCTGCATTTAAATGAAGATTTCTCTTTCCCTTCCCCAGCCACAGTCCCTAAAAGAACTCCAAGCTGAGGCTGAGCCCACTGGGTTCACAGGGCCATGGGTACTCTCTCCCTCAGGAGGCATCCTTTGGGGGCCAGCAAACCCACCTAGCTACCACGTACCCAGACCCCAGAGAAGGGCACACTGATAGCGTTCACCTGGAGACACCCACTGACCTTGTCCCCACATTCCTCGGCTAGGTTTAAAATCTTGGCTTGGTGACGGAACAGCCAAGGACAAGGAACTTTTGTATCACGCTATGTGACTCTGGGCAAGCTAGTCACACAACTGGGGAACTGTGTGATTATCCCTAAAGTGGTCACGGACAGTTTTCTTGTTCAATAAACTATAGTAACCAGCTATTTCCAAAGGATGACTTGGCCCCACTAGCCTCCCCAGAGAGGGAACGCTGAGTCTGTCTGCTGACGTCTGGTGGGCTGTGGGGAAGGCCCAGAGTCAAACCCTGGGAAGGATCAGTGCTTGCTTCACTGAGGTGGTGTTAATGCAGGGACTGGCTGGAAGGGGTCTGCTTTGGGTGGGAGAGGGTGTTATGGAAACATGTTTTAGACTTGTGAGAAGCTATTAATTATTCAAGTCGTGCTTCATAAATATTTCACGGTGGGTTTGCACGGGAAATCAAAGTCTGAATTATGTGCCAGCTCTTTACTTGGCTCCATGAACGAACAGACTTAGAAGGGAGAGGGAGTGGAGCATTCCCAGCATGGAGACCTCCTGGGACAGAGCTTGTGGCGGCGGGCCAGGTGCACCGATCTGGGCTTTGACATTCATGTGACTAACCTACACATCAGAGCCTGGTTTGCTTTGTGGAGAGAAACTGAAGGAAACCCAAGTTTGTCCCTGAAGCAGGAGAGTGGGGCAGAGGGTAAGGCCTGGGAGAGCCCTGCATGAAAGACGGTGAAATTAGTGAGGGAGAAAACCCCATTAGCAAAGAAGAAGGCTGGGAACAGCACCAACTATGGGTGACCCAAAATGTGGAGCCTCCAGTACAGGCACAGGGACACCACTGTCTGTAGGTGACTCATGGACCATTATAACACTAACGCCCCCTCCATCGGTGGAGATTTGAACCCTTGAGATTCATGAAACTGGGTGGAGAATTAAAGGTAACAGAGCAGGTGAGAAAGCCCAAATGACTCCCCAAAGCCTGTGGCTAGTGGGTGGAGGCCCTGCTCTGCACTGATGGCCATAAAATTTGCCGTCATCTGCCCCCAGGCAGGGCTCAGCATCCAGGACTCACCATGAAGTAATAGAGCTGTGAGGAGCGGGCCATGAACTCAGGTCGACACACAGCCACACAGATCTCCACGAAGCCTGCATGCTGGCTGGGTTTGGCCTCCCCCATCTCACACACGATCCTGTAGGAGCAAAGGAGAGACCTCATGAGCCGCAGGACTCCCAAGCATGGCCTAGGCCCACAGTGAGCCCCGACAGGTAAACGTACCTTCACGAACTCAACAAGTGATCCAGAATTCAGATCTGACCTTAGTCTCTTCTTGGGAGCGCCTGCTCCCAGCATCTGGTTGCCTCAGTTTGCTCCCAGCTGTCCCAAATTTTATGCCAGGAGAAGAGGCCTTCCATGCTTACATGTTTGTACATGGAAGAGGGTTTGGTATAGTTACTAGCACAGATATGTGTGTGTGTGGTGTGTGTGTGCACGTGCACATGCGTGTGTGTTCTCTATCTCACAAATTAAGAAACCGAGACACAGAAAAGTTAGGCAGCTTGCCCACATATTTGTGTTTAGCATCATGGAATCAAACATAGGGACTCAACCAACCATAGATCAAAAATATTCCCAGCACTCGGGAGGCAGAGGCATGCGGATCTCTGTGAGTTCGAGGCCAGGCTAGACCGACAGCCTCCAAAACAATACAGAGAAACCCTGTCTCGTAAAAACCAAAAAAAAAAAAAAAAATCGCAAAACAGATATTATCTGTATTGAAGTATGTGTAGGTTCCTTTCTTCTTTTAAAAATGATGCATTTACTTTTATTTTAAATGCATAAGCATATGTCTGCATGTGTGCCTGTGTACCCCATGCATGCCTAGCTCCCATGGAAGTGGCAAAAGGACATGAGATCTCCTGGAACTGGAGTCACAGATGGTTTTAAGCTACCAGGTCGGTTCTGGGAACCAAGTTGGGTCCTCTGCAAGAGCAGCCAGTGCTCCTAACCACTGAGCCATTTCTCCGGTGCCCAGACTTATTTTTTCTTAGGATCCTCTGGACAACACAGCAGAATGGCTATTCATCTAACATTTCTGTTGAATTAGGTATAAGTGATGGAGAGAGGATTTAAAGTATGCAAAAGGATGCTCACAGGTTGTCTGCAAGGACTGCACTATTTTACAGAAGTCACCTGGGCATCGTGACTTTGGGTGTCTTCAGAAGGTCGTAGAACCAATCCCCCACAGGTACCGAGAAGGTACCCTTTACATACAAGCACACTCTTACTTAAACATGTACACATCTTCTGTATACATGTAGACACACATTTATGGTTATTTGTAAAGTTTGTATATTTGCATATATAAACACATATTTTAAAAGGTAAACGTAAAACATAGCATAAGCACAGTTTGTACTTAGCAGCATTTCATGTGCCTTTATTAAGCTTTTACATACATCTACTTTATTCTTCCTAACAGCTTTATAATATTATATACATGGTTAAACCACCATTTGTGTAATAATCTTCCTATTGAGGGGCATGTAATACTCTAATCGTTCTCCTGCTTCAAAAAACAAACAAACAACCCAAACAGAAAAATAGGAAACACAGACATACCTAAATATCATGTGTTTATTAGAATAGACTCTTCAGGAGGGAATGCACTGACAAATAGTTTATTTACTTAACATTGATAGGGCCCAATACTGTTCCCCCAAAGCTCTACCAATTTGTATTTGTGTCAAGGGTCCACTACTCTAGCAAAGACTAGATAGCCACAAGTCTTTGGAAGTTTTTCCAATACATTACAGAAAACATCTTGTTTAAGACCAGTGATTGTTGCAGAGGGTACACATATTCATGTGTCTTTCTTTATTTTACACTGCCTTCCTCTAGCTTCTCGATTAAAGTCCTCTCCCTATTATGCTGGCCAATTGTCCTTTCATGAAACCTTCTTAACTAGGCATATTAACTTTTATGTGTTGTAATACTACAATTATTTTCTTCCTAATTGTCAATTTGCTATCTGTCCTTTAACTTGGTTTTCAATTATATTCTGCCACACTACATTCCTAAGCATCTATGTGGCTAAACATACTGATCTTTTACTTTTTCATTTCTACAGTTTGAGTCCTGTGGAGTTTGTTTTTTGGCTGGTTAGTTGGTTTTGGTGCAGTTTTATCTTTTGTGGTACTGGGGATCAAACCCAGGGCTTGGCACATGTTATATAAGCACCCTGTCACCAAGCCACATGCCCAGACTTGCAGTTTTTATGTATTATGTTTCTTAAAAAGTTATGCTAAGGAAAGGTCTTGCTGTGTGTGTGTGTGTGTGTGTGTGTGTGTGTGTGTGTGTGTGTGTGTTTCTATATAGACAGCCTAATAAACACATTTGCTATGGGGAAAAGATAGATTCACTCTGGCTTTTCTTCCACAAATTAAGTAGAAGCTGTATTCTTGGTCACGTGTGTGTGTGTGTGTGTGTGTGTGTGTGTGTGCATGTGTGATACCTTGCCTGTGTGCCTGTCTGTAAGACTTCTGAGGTGTGGGATGAACTACCAGGCCTTAACTTGTAAGATTCCAGCTTTATAAAGGTATGAGAGTGATACATAAGTCTGTCAATTCTTATCTACAATTTTCTACTTTGAAATTTGATCTTTTTCTAGAGCTAGCCACATGTTCTATGATACTCTCTGTGATGCTGGCCAGTGGTGAAAAGCTTCAGGTTCCTGTGAGCCAGGGACCATAAGAAGAAACAATGTTGGTTGCTGGTTAGGAATATATAACACAGTTTCATCTCATGATGTTTTCAACTTGAGAAGGGTTTACCAAGACACAGTACAAAGGGCTGGGAATGCACCTCAGTGATGGAACACTTGCCTCGTATGTACATGGCCCTGCATTCAGTAACCATCATGTCCAAAAGGCATGTAAAGTTGAGGAACATCTGTATGATAACTTTGAGTTGACAAATTCAATACTTGTAGAAATATCATTGCTTCTGAATTGTTTGTATCATAAATAAAGCTGAGATAAGCATTGTTAAATATGAATTTTTTGCAAGTTTGGTTGTTTAGGGAATGTTCTAGAAGCATATTAGCTAGATTTAAAGACCGGGGAGGAGTGTGGAGTGTGATACTGGGGATTGAACCTGGAGTGTTCAACCACTGAGCTACATCTCAACTTCATTTTTCTTTTTATTTCTCTTCTTGCTTTTGAGACAGTCTCACTAAGCTGCCTAGGCTAGCCTTAAACTCACTCTAGCCCAGGCAGGACTTGAGCATGAGATGCTCCTGCCTCAACATAGCTGGAATTACAGACCTGCACGTAAAGTGCCAGCTAAGACTTTTTTCTGTTTTTCGTTTTTTATTCTTTTGGGCGAGGGAAAGAGAGAGCACACTGCATGGTTGTGTGTGTGTGTGTATATATATATATATATATATATGACATGACATATATGACATGACATATGTGTGTGATGCATGCCTGTGGGCGTGTGGATAGACATGCACACAAGGCCAGAGCAGGGCGGGGGGTTTCACTCCATTACTCTCATCTTATTGCCTCGACACCATCCATCACTGAACCAGAAGTCTATCCTCTCAGCTAGGTGAGCTGTCGTCTGTCTCCCCCTCAGCGCTGGTGTTATAGGCACATGCAGCCATGTGGAGCTTCCGGCTAAGACTTTCTTAATCCATGTGTCCAAATGCCTTCCTGAAAGTTTATCCCAGTTCCCCCCCACACACAAGTAAGTAAGCCAGTTGCATCTGGTGCTTATTTTTATTTTCATTTTTGTTTTTATTGGGATGGCATCTCATGCAGTCCAGGCTAGCCCCAAGCTCACTATGCAGTTAAGGATAACTGACCTTGAACTTCTGGCCTTCCTGTCTTTATCCACCTGTTTTATTCCTTGCTGGGGATTGAACTCGGGGCTTTTTGTGAGCTAGACAGGCACACTACCCGCTACACTCAATCTCTGGCCTCCCGAGCATTAACTTTTAAAAATTTTTCTCCATTGCAGTCATCTGCATTTCATGTCTCACATGAGTTTTTGGTTCTTTGTGCACCTCGTGAATTATACATTCATGCTCTTTGCTCATTTTGTGATAACTGCCTTTTATTTATAAAGCCTCTTTATCTGTTAAGAAAAATGTGTCTATTATCTGTGATGAGTATAACCACATCCCCAATTTTTTGTTAGCGTTTATTTTTCTTACCGTGATTTCTGATGTATAAGTTTTTAAGTTTTATATACTCAAAACCCCTAATCTTTTCTTTATGTTTTATTTTTCAGCTCATGCTTGAAACATCTTCTCCTTCATGAAATCAAATGAATTTGCACCTGCATTTTCTTCTAATCTTTCAGTTTCATTTTGTATCCCTAACTCTTTAATCTACCTGGAATTTGTTTGGGTGTAGAATGTGAACTAAGGATCTGATATTCTTCTTCTTCTGGCATTAGCCAGCACCATTTGCTGAAGGGTCTTGCCTTTCCTAGTTGATTTGAACTGTCACCTTCATCACACACTAAATTCTTGTGTGTCAGGATTCTTGCCCTGAGCATTCTATATCACTCCTTGGATCTAACTGATATTGCAGCACTTTAATCATCTGGCTTTATAATAACATTGTTGATGTCTGGTCTACGGTTAAGCTTCCCTGCATCATGCTGTATCAGCAGCAGTTGGCATTGCTTTGATTTCGGAAAATTGTAGGAGCCGTGGATAGATGTTTGGGTCACTAAGTAATGGCAGATGACAGGGATGTCTCCACGTAACAGTGGAATCTTCCGCGTTCCACTCATTACAAATGCTGTGGGGATACCCTGATGGAAGTCAGGAGGAATAGCACATGTACCATCTCTGTAGTTCTGAATCATTCAGTCCAGCAAGCAGAAGCGCAGGGCACCGTCAGACCTAAGGGAGACCCTGCTAGCAGCCCACATCTAATGCTCCTAGGACAATTGATCAGGGTACAGTCTGGGTGAAACAGGAAGGAGCATAGATTCCACTGTGCTGACAAACATTCCACAGTTGTGTTTGCTGGGCTGGAAAGTGGTGTTTACTTATTTACCAGACAATGCACGGCTCACTGGATCTCCTCCACTAGGTGTGTTCAGGGTCAAGGTCATCTGTTGAATGACCCTTTTACGCATGGTTTGTAAAGAGAAAAATTAGCCAAGGAACAGGTATGGGATTTCATTTTCAGCCTCCACAGAGGATAGCCCAGGGCTATCCTACCTGTGGGGAAGCTCATGGAGAGTTAGAGACAATAGAAGGAATTGAATTCACACTCCCTGGCAGACTTTAATTTTGCTCTTTCTCACCTCTTCCTCTCCATACCCCCAAGTAATCAGAATCACTTTCCTTGTCCCTGCCTCGTTACCATTACCATCCTTGTCCCTACCTCCCTAGTATGGCATGTCAGTAGGTAGTGCAGAAGGCAGGGAGCCAAGGGGACCTGTAGACACCTAAAATATTAGCTGCATTCCACCCTCTGCCCCTACCCCGAAATCTGGCTCTGAGTTTGCCATTTATCTGTCAGTGCTTAATCTGCAAGCCCTAAATCTGAAACACTTGAGCCTTGATATGGCACCACCAATGGAAAATTTTATGCCAGGAAAATTAATTTGATGATTACTTAAAAATACTATATGAAGTCACCTTTGGGCTATGTGTATAAGGTATATATGAGACCCAAATGAATTTTGTGTTATCTCAGGATATCTCACTATGTGTATGCAAACATCCTAAAGTCCAAAGGGAAAAACAATTCCCACTCCAAAATACTTCTGGTCCCAAGTATTGTGGATCCAGGACATCACACGCCTGTGCTGCCATCTCTCCCGCTCCCCTTTGGCTACCCCCATATCTCAGGCAGTTCTCACTTACTGCTCTGCCGGGATGTAGCCATCCACCAAGGGACTGCATTCCACACCAGCCACCTTGACATGTGAAGCAATGTCCCGGAATTCCAGGCCCAGGTTCTCCCCTCGGATGGTGACCTTGGTGCCCCCTTCCCGAGGGCCTGTCACTGGGATGATCTGCAGGGAGGAAGAGAGGTGATCCTTCAGGTCTCAAGAAGCATCGCTGCTGCCTACTTGTTGAAGAGGCTATGGTGGGCGTGGCCCTTTATGCTGGTGTGCGCAGTTCCTTAAGCAGGTTCAAGTGGTGTGTGGTTATCATGGGTGATTTCTCTGGGTAAAGAGATCTTTGCTTCTCTGTGGCCCTGAGGGTCATGTTCAAAGTCTCTGTTCTATCTTCCTATCTCACAGAAGAAGATAATATGACTTGAGTGTTACAACATACTCCAAAGAAAATCAGGATAGACTCCTGGCATATAATACAACATTCTCATTTCCCCAGAACCATCCCATCCACTTCCAACATCAAATGTCCAGTCTCCATAATCACAACTTGTTTCTCTTCACTGAAGGTCTAAGGCTACATTCATGACAATAATTATTCAGGTGAGTTCCCCATTCTTCCAACCCAGTCCCTCTCTTGACCTGAACTCTCTAAGAGCAAGCCATGATGTCTCCAGTTCTCCTAGCCCAACTTCCTTGTCTGTGGTAGAATTCTGGAGCAGCCAAGCCAACCCACCAGTATCTCTTCGGAGCATTTGGCATAGTGTCTACCTTCCTTGTTGGCTTCATTTGTCATGGAAGAGGTTTGAATTTGGACTTTAGCCTGGTCAATGTGTCTGTCCTTCCCTCCAGAGATGTCACAGTGGATGTCAAAGCTCATAATTAGAACACAAGACTTGTCACCCAGGACTTGGCTTGCTTTGAGGTAGGAGCTATGGATGGTGAATGACATCAAATTGGTACTTCCCACAGTAAGAACTGTTCCTGGCTCTCAGAGCACATACACCCGCAGTGAGGCCCCCGAGGGAGAATCTGAATGACAGGGTCTTTAGTTCCTCCCAGAAAGTTCCACTACCCCAGTCTGCAAGGGTTACATATGGGCACTGTCCTGAATGGCTGGTAAAGTTGGAGGCAGCTTTTCTGGGATGAGACTGTTCACTAACCAATGACAAGCAACCTCCTTCCTCTTACATATCCCTTTGTGGACACACATGCTTGTGAGTAAGTGTGTTTGTGGGGTGCAAGTTGATATAAGCATGTTCCCATCATAGTAACAGAAGAGCTTCCTTGGAGAAATGGAGCCCTTTCTGCTGGGGGGAGGTGGGCAGATGCGTGGAAGGCAGGGAGAGAGTGCCTAGGTTCTCCCCAGTGCTTGTCCAGATGGTGGGTCCCCGTGTACCCCTAGCACTTGGTGGGGTGCCTGCACCAAATTCTAGCCCTGGCTTGTCGTCCTGTAAGAGGGCTTTTATCTTTGGACCAGTCTGTGGTCCCCTGGAGGGCTGATGCCAGGTTGGAGGCAGTGAGTTGCCCCACCCTAGGGAGAGTTGTTTAATTTGTCACCTCGTTCCTGTGATTTTCTTGGATTCAGGCCAAGGAGAAAGCAAATCCAGCCGATAGGTTTCAGTGCACTGTAAATCACCATGTGCCACAGCCCCAGGGATGGCTTAGCTGGTGACAGCCTGAGGGCAGTGGCTCTGCAGCAGAGGAGGTGCAGGATTGGGGAAGGACTGGGGAGGAGGGATGGGGATGTGGGGAAGTGGGTTGAAGGGCATTTGCCTGCCCCCTACCCAGTCCCTCCAGCCTGGAAGTCACCACTAACAACAGGGTGAAGTGGAGACTCAGAGAAAGTCCCAGTTTTGATATTGCCATCCCCGGGAATGCTGAAGAGGAAGGGTCTCAGGGGAGGGATGCAATTTGAAGGCCACCCCGAGGTAGCTAAGGAGTTCACTCATATCAGCCAACACTGTTTCTGCTCAGATCCCTCCCAGCGGCACAGTTTGTAAGGAGTATATGTCCTGTCACGGTGTAGAGGAGAACAGGAATCCAGGGCTCGGAATTGGGGCGGCAACACTGTTTTCTTTATACTCTGGTTATTCTAGCTGCGATACTATTCTCCACCTGGGGGAGGAAGACAGTAACCCTGGCCTTCACAGGTATGAATGGTTCATCTTCAACTGTGCTCACCACCCTCAACCCCTGCCACTTCATAGATGGAGGTCCTGACTACGCCCCTCCCTCCTCTTCATAGGTGGAGGTCCTAACTAATCTCCTGACTTAGCTACTTTTCTTATTGTTATGACCAAATACCTTAGAGAAGCAACTCAAGGAGGAGAAATGATTTATTCTGGCTCATGGTTATGGGGTTAGGTGGTGGGGAAGGATTGCAGAGGGCCTGGTCCCCCGAGGCAGGAGCATGTGGCAGCTGCTTGTAGCATGGTAGTGCCCACGAGGCAGAGGATTCAGAAGGAAGTTGGGCTCTAACTCTCAATGCTTATCCTCCAGGGATCCATGTCCCCCAGCTTGGTTCCACCTCCTAAAAGGTCTATGATCTCCTAAAACATAATCACCATCTGGGGACCAAGTGTCCAAACACACAAGCCGGTGAAAGACAGTTCATATTCAAACCACAATATTCTAATACCTCAGAATGTGACTTTAGGTAGCGATAAGTCTTTACAGAGACCATTAAGCATAAGGGAGGTCATTAGCATGGGTTTTAACCCAGTGTGATCATGGTGCTGTTAAAAGCAGCCAGGACATGGAGACCTGCATAGAGGGAGGCATGGGGAGCACAGGTGACAGCTAACTAGTTCTTCACAGCTGTTGGAAGCAATCAGTCCTGCCAGTGCCTTGGTCTTGAAATCTTACCTCCAGGAGAGTGATACTTTAAGCTATGCGGTTTGTGATGCTTGGTTACAAAACCCCAGGAGCCCAAAATAACAGGACTTCCCTGCTAACTAACCAGGCTGTGAAAGGAATGTGCAGACACCAAAGCACTTCACACACACATAGTCTAGGACCATGGTCATCACTGCTCAATATGGAGTGGGTACATTAGCAAAACTGAGCCAAGCCGAGTGTGTCCTCCTGATTGACGGATGCAGACACAGCTGCTTACTTCCTTCTCTTTCCCCTCTTCCCCATCTACGCCTTTATCATAATCAGCATCCTCCATGACAAAGAGGATGAGCTAAGTACCTACCGTGTGCTAAGCCCGATTCCTGGGGTATGGGAGGATGCGATCCTAATGTTGGGGAATATTAAAAAGGAGACACACATTTCTTTTCCTATTTAAGAAGAGAGCAAGAATCTCAGGCCTGGTCTAAGATAGACTCCCTGTCATAAGTATGGACTGTGTACATGAGATGGAAATGTCCATATAAACCTCAGGGGCAGAAGTTCCCTGTTTTAGACACCTTGGTAATGATTTTAATGGTGATGAACAAGAAGGAGGTGGGGGAGGCTGATGAGCACCCCCAGAGTTGTACAGGAGCTGAGGAAGTACCATGGCTGTCAGTGCCTTCAAACCCATCCCTGAACTCCCCTGCGGGACAGCAGGTGAGGCATGCTGACAGAGCCCTGCACAGGCCTGGCTGTGTCCCCACTGTCTGAGTGCCTTGCTTTGCCCTGCTCCTCCCTATCCTTCACAGTTAGACCCCCAAACTGCATCCAGATCTATTTCTAATTCTACAGCTGAGGTCTTATTGGGACAAATTCTGAGGTCTCTCTGCCGTGGCCTCTTGCTGCTCTCCAGAGCTAGATCTAGTGCAGACATCACTACTGTCAACTTGCAGTAAGGCTCCTGTGGATGAAGCTCCACCTCCTGTCACTGAAGTGTCTGGATACAGAGGGAGGGGGAAATAAAACTCCAACAGGGCTGTGGAACTCTTCTGTCCCCTGGGTGAGGGAAAGGTCTCTGAACCAAGCCTAAGCTTTCATAGAAGCCATAAAGGAAAACAATGATATGCCCAGCCGGTGAGAGCACCCAAGTCTACGGTGACCACAAGGTGTGACCAGTACCATAACCAGGCATTGTCTTGAGAGCCCTGGTCCTTGGCAGGCTATAGAGTGACTTGGCAGCTTGGAGTATGCTACAGGCCAGGCAGTGGCTTACCTCTGTGATCCGAGGGTTGGTACATTTGCTGTTGGCACCTGACAGTTCCAGCCACCGGCTCTCATGGGCAGGACAGTGCTGGCGCAGGGTGCACTGGCCTGGGCTCTGACACCAGCCACACTCAAAATCCGGGTCGGCTTTGAGGCAAAGCCCACAGCTCTCACGCATGGCCCCACATTTGTAGAGGTAAACTGTGGAAGACAAGGACAAGAGGCACTTTGGGATGGGGAGAGGCTGAGAATGGGTACAAGGGAACTGTGAGTCTCCGTTTGGTCTCTGCCATCCTTCCCAGCAAGCTCCTGTCACCCTTCCCCTCTCCCGGGGGACACCACAGAGCGGAGCCCAGGGTCAAGAAACAACAGCGGAAAGTGGATGGCTAAGAGCTAGGCCTGTGAAGGAAAGACTCAAAGCCCAAGGGAGATTGACAGGTCTGGGAGGTAGAGGTGCAGGATTGCTCTGCTCTCTCCTTCTCTCCCCTGCCCCGCCCCCACTCCCTCCCGCAGTGCCCAGCAGCCTTAGCCTCTTCACACCTTTATTCTGAGCCGGGTTGTCAATGTTGAAGTGTCCGTTCCACACGACTGTCAGCTCCACTGGAAGGTTGTTGATCTCCGTGCCTTCATAGGAATACTGCAGCCAGATTGAGGGGGCGAGCAAAGAGCAAGAGGGCTGTTAGAAAGATCTCTACCAAGACCCGGGAGCTTAGCCCAGGCCCCATAGAGCACACAGGGTTAAGGACTAGCCAAGACTGCGCCTGTGTACATATTCTTGAATACATATACTCATGCGTACGGTCAGATGAAGGAACGGAGGGGCCAGATGATAATGCAGAGAGTGGGGCTAGGCCTCTATCCTACCTGTGCAGCAACACTACCCATGCAGCAACCTACCTGTGAACAGTATACCTGCACAGCAACATCTCTGTGCAGGAGGACATGTTTGGGGCCAGTTCAAGAAACAGACCACAACAGTCAATACAGAGGCTCGTAACTGGCCAGCTTGCTGAAAATAAGTGATTGTGAGTGCTTTGCTCCAAATGGGACGTAGTTATCAACCCCTGTGTCCAGGGAACACCACCAAGGCCAGGAAACAGAGGAGGATCCTGGCAGAAGGAATAGAAGAACCCGAGGGGAGGAGTGCTGTGTTCTGGACAAGATAAGGCTACCAGACTCATGAACTCACAGCAGCTGGGCTACCCGCATAAGACAGGCCCAGAGTGAAGTCAGCCCAACCTGGGCACGGATGGGTGAGGAAGTCACATCACCTCACCAACTGTGCAATGGGCTTGTTCTTTGCAGAAAGGCTACTGGTAAGTTGCCCACAGTCTACCAGATAGCTCTATACCCATGCAAATGTGGAAAGCCCTAAAGGAGCTTGGCAGGTTATTGAAAAAGAAGAGGAGGAGGAGTTGAATTTGGGAAGTGGATATGAGAGGTGAATTGCAGGGAAAATTGGAGGGGGAAACTGCGGTGGTGATAATCACATATCATTGTATACATGTACAGATTTCTCAAAAGGGGAAAAAAAAAAGAAATTGGATGAGCTGTTCATCATGGCCAAGGGTCTCAAAGAGGGGGTTGCACATGGGAGCTGAGCCCAAGAAAGGGTCCTGATCTGCCCTGACTACCTAGGGAACTCTGGTCACTTGGCCCTGCCAGCCTGCATCTATACAGGGAACTAATGCTTATTTCAGAAAACATGTAGTATAGGTCATCTCTTTTCCCCAGAGCCTGGACTGGGACTGCTGACCACCAGGCAGAGGGAGTGGGTAGCAATGGCTAGGAATGAAGAGGTGGTGCTCTAAGGGGACGATTGGCTGAGGATAAGAGAGAAGTGGATCCCATAGAAGCTTTAGGGAAGTATGGGATACCTTGTGGTCCCCACCCCCTGCTGCTGCCAGGGTGAGCCTGGGGATCTGAGTAAGATTTCAAATGCACTCACAGCCCCAGCTTCCCACCATACTGTACCCTGTTATCCTGAAATAATGGAGGAGACCCCTGCATCATTCAAATCCTCTGTCTGCTTTCCCTAGGACCTGTTGTTTTGTTCTGAGCAAGGGTGGGTCCTGAGTAAGAGATGGTGATGAATACAGGGAAGAGGATGCTGACTTGGAGATGCTGGGGGCAGCACGAAGGCTCCCTGTGTGGCAGCCTCTGCTCTGCTTCTGGCTGCAGTTACTGGTCAGTAAAGAGAGAGGCAGTGAGCAGAGGGAACTCAGCTTGCCATGGGCAGCAGGGCTAATCAGTACCTGGTGCTTTTCTTATTATACTAGCAGACTTCCTTGCCACAGGGGGTAGGATGGAGGAATGAATTGCGACATGTTTTTCTGTACAGGAAGGCCTGAGGACTGGCATTTTGTTAAAAAGATTAATCCATTGGGCTTGGTTAGAAGTTAGTCTTGCAAATCCAATGGGCTCTTCCAGCCCAGAGCTGAGGTTTGGAGGGTCTGAACTATTGTGGGTGTGGGTGGATCTTAAGATGGAAGCTGTCCTTTCTTCAAGGTGGCTGCAGCACTTTCAGTGAGGAGGGAGGGAAAACAGCCACAGGTACTGTACATGCTGGCCTGGAGAGACTCTCAGGGGCTGGAACCAAGCCTCTATCACTTGTAGAAGCTTATAAAGTCCAAGGAATTACTCCAAGCCTTTGAGTGACAGAATAAACCACACTGTGAGTGTGCTGGGGTGGAGGGGTCTAAACAGTATAATAAGCAGCATGTGTGGTCAGGCTTCTTTAGGCTCTATCCTAGCAATCGAAAGTTTTAACACCCTCCTTCCTAGCAGCATAAACCTAGTCTAGCCAGAAGCACTTGGCATTTTCCCCAACAACAGGGAGACATTCCCAGAACACTGTCCACCCTCTTACTCAGCAAGTCTGTGACTGATTCCTGCTGGGTACAGAGAAGAAAGCAAAGACTCCTGCCCTGAAGAAATGACAGCAGAGGTTTTAGTTCAGTACAGCTGTGACTCCCCCCCCCAAATTTGAGACATATACTGACCAGCCCCTAACAGATAACTGAAACCTCAGATAGCATCTACCTCTATGTTGTTTTTATTTTGCAAACACATACCAAATGATGTAGGCATAATTCAGGCACAGGATGAGATTAACAATTAAAAAGTAGAACACTTACAATATACTGTAAAGTTATGCACATATGCTCCCCTTTCTTCCTTGCTAGCAAACTGGTAACTCTGTATCTGTCAACATAGTAACAAAGAGCTTGCAATAGTCTCCTGTGCCTTTAACCCAACCAGAGGTAGTAGGACCTCTGTGAACTTGAGGCCAGCCTGGTCTACATAGTAGGTTTCAAGTCAGCCAAGGCTACATAGTGAGACCTTGTCTCAATGAACTAAAAATGAAAAACAGCATGATAACCAAGTTGTCTACTAAGTAACCAACAGCCAGATAGCATATATGGGATGAATACACAGGATAAAAATATGGCTCATTTCTTCTATGCAGAAAAAGGGGGTCTCATTGAAAAATTATTTCTGGAATTTTCCATTTAATGATTTTTGATTGTGGTTGGCCATGTGTTACTATGAAAAGTAAAATTATAGGTGGGGGGAAAGTACCCTAATCAACTACCCAGGGACTGAGCTATGTCTTGGTCAGACTGTGTGTTATTTAACAGTTTCTTCTGAGATTGAAACATTGTGTTCTACTGGAAGCTGTTTAAGCAAGGAGGCAATCAACTCAAAATAGCTTCAGGAAGTCCCTGAAACTAACTAGATTCATTGGGCCCCACCCTCCCAGAGTAAGCAATAAAGCTGCAAAAAAAGATTCTCAGACCAGCCAAGCTGCAAAGACTCTGAGACCTAAGCAGCTGCCTGGAAGGAGCAGAGACCAACAGACCTGCCTGGAAGAGCTTTAGACCAACCTCATGCACACAGAAAAGACACTTCCAACCCGTTGAGCTAACTGCAGCCTATATAGTGTGCTCCAGGTTCCCAGCTTTTATGAGCTGTCACCAAAGCTGGTATGAGCTTTGGTGATGCAGCTGTCTTTGAGTCATTTCTATTCCTGGGAGTAACCTCTCCCCCATACTCCTGTAAATAAAATCCATAGAACTCATTGGTTCACCAAACTGGACTTTGGTGGTATCCATACGGTGGTCTGTCATAGGCTCCCTATCTGAGGTAAGTAGACATGTGTGTTTCCATCTCCCCAAGAAAAGTTTTGTCACACAATATTGGGTCATCTCAAGTTATGTCACTTCAGTCACTGGGAGAGGGTATCAGAATGGGGAATGAGGTGGAAAACACAGGGGCCTCTTCCAGAAGTGGCTAATTCCACTGTCTGGAGATGGGGGATGCTTTGAAGACAGTTTCTGTGGTTCTGACATTAAGCAAAAATTAAGAATCCTGCCAAAAGTAGGGAGTCAGGGGCTGCCCGGAAGAGAGAGGAGCATGTAGGAGGAGGTGCCGTTCCTTATGTGAGAGAAAGCAGTGGGTCTCTGGCTGACCTCTTTCCTGGTCTCCTTCTCCCTGCCCTGTCCCCTTCTCCCTCCTTGCAGGGCTATAGATCCCAGTGGGGGACGTGACTAAGGGTAGGTCACCTGGTCCACCCAAGGCTGAGCACCAGCTGAACACCTGGTAGCACTGGACATCCAGGGATTTGGACTTTGGCAGGGTGCCCAGCTTCTGTCTTCAAGCCTACCCAATGTGGGAACAGCAGGTGTCAAATAGACCACAGTTAGCCTGATGTCAGTGAAGTCCTCAGGCCCCTCTCAGGATGGTTCTGAAGTGGCTCAGGAAGGAAGGCAAGACATTCCTACTATGAACATATGTGAGAGTCTGTGTGTTCGTACATCTGTCTGTATGTATGTATGCCTCAATCTCTGTGTCTTTCTCACACACACACATGGGGGGCATATGAGCATGAGCTAATGACCAAATTTTGGGTCCCTCATTTGGAAAGTGGGAATTAAGAAACAGCCCACACCTTTGGTGATTAGCATGTAGGCTGGAGATAATACACACAGAGCTCTGAGCACAGTGTCTGTCACCTGTTCTAAGCCCCAAAGAGCACCGTGTGTTTTAATCTGCGTGTATACACCTGGGGATGCTCTGGGAAACTCTATTTGTGCTGCCTGTGTTTATGTTTATGGAGAATAATAATAGCAGCCATGAACTGAGTGTTTATGTGCCAGACACTTGGTACATATGGAGCTGTATGCATGTGAGAACGCTTATGTGTTCTGATGCAGGCACATGTCTGTGTTCATTTTCCTTTGGAAGAAAACTGAAAACCGAAAGGCTATGAGGATCAAATATGCTGTGCGGTGCCTCTTCTTTCTCTCTCCTATTTTCTGAGGTTGCAACTGGGAAATACTGTAGACATCATTAACCCAGGTGCCACCACCGGCCCTGAGCCTCTAGGGAAGTTACCATGCTCTGGAGATCTGCCCTCTCTAGATGACCTGCATCTATCTGGGGCACACGGGCCACAGTAGGAGCTCCCTGTGTGTCCCTAAGCTGGGCAGTTTGGACCACTGGTTCCCATCCCCCTGACCTCCCTCACTCTGCCCCACTTAGCATTTATATGGCTCTCTGTAATCAGCAGGCAGTTTGTCTGTACAAAGGTCAGGGTTCCACAGGACACAGAATGGAGGGACAGGAGAGGTTATAGGCACCTGAAGGTCAGGAGGTTAAGTGTCTCAATCAAGGCTGGCATACCAATCCCTCTAGTCCATTACTTCTCCAACTGCCCTTTGGGTGTGTGACCCCCAGCTTCCTCTCCTTGTAAGGCAGAGGAGTCCTCTGCATGGAGTTATCCTCGCCTTGGAGCATTCCCTTGTCCTGGGTGTTTGGAGATTGTGCTAGAGAGTTCTGCTGTTTGAACCAGCAGGCCAGGAAAGCACACCAGGAGTTGGTTGGGGCACTGTGCCTATTTCCAGGGCTCTGGCCAGCTTCATGGCCTTCTTTCCTCTTGGACCAGCACTGCAGTGGGCCTGTGCCCTTTGCAGCCCACTCATGCTCATGACCGCCAGCCTGAGAGGAGGTGGCAGGCTCTATTATTAGCAGCACTTGACATTTTCCCGGAGTCTTGGTCTAAAGTAGGCCATGCATCTCCACAGAGGCTCCCTCAGTGGCTGCGTGAAACCAATCCCTCTGTTCCTCCCACTGTCCCAAGGAGCTAAAGCCACTGGCCCCAAGCCTGTTCCCAAAGAGTGGGTCTGGAAGGGATCCCATCGGCCTACTGAGGCCAGAGGCATGCCACACAGGGCTTGTTTTTCAGGCCCCCACTCTTTCTCTGCTCTTCTCTGCCATCATTGTCACTAATACCCATGACCTTTCTCACCTTAACGACCCTAGTGATAGGACTTTTAAATGTCCTACTCCCACTCACGCTGACTGGGTGCTAGCACCAAGAGCCTATGGAAAGGGGACAATGCTGGCCCGCCCCTTTGTGCCCTCTTTCTTAGGCAGCCCCTGTATCACCCTCACATCCAGAGAGTCTCCTTTGACTACCTTAAGGGCTCATTGGGCGCTTGGACTATGGTTGTTGATATGGCAATTGGACCTGCTAAGGACATGGCAATCCGGGCTGCTTCTGACCCATCACTGAAGAGAATAGACAGCTTGTCTAAACGGGCTTCATGGAAGGTCAGTTAGTTTATAGGGGGTTTAGGGGATCAGGTTCTGGGGGCATCTTATGACATTGTGACCCTCTATTACCAAGGTCATAGACTCTGTCCTTGCTCCAGACATTTCCCTACACAATGGGGCAGCTTCTCCCAGAAAGAGAGGCTGTTTTCCCCAGGGTCTGAAATTTCAATGTGTCTGCAGAGTCCAGTAGGGGGTCCTGGCTCCCCCTCTCCACTCGTGCCTTCTTGTCTGGGGGAGAATTACTTGAGCCTTTGGGGCTGTTGTGCTGGGCCTCACAAGTTGTGAGGAAGCAGTTAATATCGCCTGTGCTTGCAGGTTAGAACACTACAGAAATCTGAAAACTGGTCTGGTTGTCCATAGCTGGAACAGGAGAGGAAGCTGTGGGGACAGATCAGCCCCTGCATTGCTGAGTGACACAGAGCAAGCATGTGTGCTTCTCTGAAGCCCCGTTTTTCCTCAACTACTTCCTGCAAGAAAAGTAGGGGTTTTCCCAAGCAGTCCTTTGTGGGGGACTCTTGAGGTCCCTGAGTTACATTCTCAAATAAATCCGCAGTTTTTCCCTACTCAATAGCAGCTAGATGAATGACTGGGAGACAATGTGACACAGGAGGGGGACCCCAAAGTCAGCCAGCCCTGCTGTTCACCACTATGTGACCTTGCGTGAGTCAATCCGCTTTGAGTAGGGACAGGTTGCCTGGAAGCAAATGGAAGTTCAACTTCAGGGGCTGCCCTTGCCCTCAGGTGCCCTGCTAGGCCTTGCCCACAAATCTAATTTCATGCTTCCTACATTTTGTGACACTAAAGAAGGTACCCACGTTCCATCAACCTCAGCTGCCCAAGCCTGAATCTGTGCCCCCTCCAACCAGGGTCCTTATGTTCTTGCCCTCCCTCTCCTCCCCTTCTTCTGCCTTGGTCTCGTTTTTCCTTTTTCCTTTTCATGTTTTTCTTTTCTCCTTCTTTTTTCCTTTTTTGAGACAGGGTCTCATTCTGATGCACCCATTAGGCTCTGACTTGTGGTGATCCTCCTGAACCAAGCTCCTAAATGCTGGGGCTATAGGCTTAAGCCACCACACCTGCCTTCTGTCTTCTCTTTTGTACAGTGAAGAACCGTACGACTTTTCATTGCTGGAGAGCAGTGTAAGTCCATAAGTCCTTAAACCAACATTAGCTGCTCTCAAGCATCTAGGTAAAGAGAAGGGAGCCCCGACGAGTGACAGGGAGCAGAGCCAAGGTTGGAAGGCAGCATGAGAAGGGAAGGGATAAGCTGGGAGGAAAGGGGGCACATAGTCAGGAACGCTGTGTTCATACGGATCCAGGGGCAGTTGTTGGCAGCTTGGGGACTGCTGACCCCATTGGCAGAACTTGACCTTAACTATGGAGCTTGTAAACCCTAGGCAGGGACCAGATGATCCAAGCCAACTCCTAACCCATCAGTGGTGCTTGGTGGTGACACTTTATTGTTCTTGTTAAGACACAGCCTTTGTGTAGGTTTAAGGGCAACACTCAGATCGGGCTAGGTGAGAGAGAAGGGACTAAGTCTTCTAGAGCAACTTTTGAGAAGGAGGAAGTTCGGCTTTCTGTAGTTATATCTGCACATAGACAGGGCTCCAGAAACCTACACCAGCCCAACAGTATGTCTTGTGCAGGTGACCCTCAGTACCCCATGGCTACAGTCAGAGTCCATAGCTGGTGGACTTTTCGGGGGTCCTAGAACTCATTATGCCATGGGTTCAGGGGCTGGATTGGACAGACAGAGTAGAAGTAGGAGAAGGGATTCAGGTAGGTAGAGGCCCCAGGAATCTACGGGATAGCAAGTCCAACAGGGTGGAGCTGATGGAGCTCGCTGAGGCCCATAGTAGTGGGACAGCAGGGTGACTCACAGAGGTGTTCTGACACTGCACACTGGAGCTGTTGAAGCGCAGGGCAGGAACCCTCTGCTCGGTGCCCTGGATGTTCAAGATGCACTCGTAGCCTCGCTGTCCAGACTGAGGCTGTGGGAGGTTCTTAGCCTTCAGAGTGATGGGCTTGATCACCTCTACTGGTACCAGGATCTTGTCCACTCGCAGCAGCTGGGGGCAGTCCTGGGGACAGAGGGCAGGGCTCAGCTTGGGTATGTGAGAAACCAAAAAGACAGTGACCTCTACAAACTTTACAGAGATGTTGGTCTTTGCTGTGCCCTGTCCCCAGAGAATCACATGCCCACCCTCAGAGAGTACGGAAGGAACAGGGATGAGAAATGCCAAAACTTAGTGTCACCGTTCTTGAGGTCACTCCTCCTAGAGTCTATCCTTAATTTTAATACCAATTTATACCTCAGATCTCTAACAGGCCTGTGATCCCCTCCCAGTTCCCTTCCTTCCTTGGCAGAGACTGACCCTGCTGCCTGGGCATCCTGCCCCTCTGGGGACTGATGGCATCTTTGCCTGCCAAGCTCCAGGCAGCCAGGAGTTAGGACAGATGGGCCATATGGGAAGTCACACATGGAGGCAACAGCCTGGGCCTCAGCTCTGCCCATAGAACTCAAATCTGGAACACAGCTGGGGAAACCGAGAAGGCCTCTAGTGTGTGGGTTGAGTGTGGCATTTGGCAATATTCTAGAATAGTGTTCTGTGGACTCTTCTGTCTAGAAACTTCTGACTAGGCTCTGAGGATGGTTGGCACTGAGGAAATGCCCCTCAGAGCAGATACACAGTGCTTCTCCTTGATGCCTGCAACAGGATTGTTAACCATGCAACCACAGAGGGTCTTTGCTGGGGAAGAAACGAATCACTAGGCCCCTTTCTCAAGCATTAACCTGAGAGGACAGAATGGGCTTGGAGAATACTGGAGTCAGAGGATGGGATGGGTATTCTTGGCTTTATGCCAAGAAGATCCCATTATCCCCTAGGTTCTGCCCTCTCTCTCTCTGGGCACTGCCAAACCAGGTGACCTCTGAGCAAGCTGACTATAGAAAGCATGGCACCCATGTCCTTCCTGGGGATAGTCATACATAGTCACACTGCTGAGTCTCAGCTGAGGCTGCTGTTCCTCTCCCCAGGGCCAGTCTAGATGGAGTCATTTTGATTAAAGAAACATACTAGAAGGGTCTCATAGGTCACTGGAAGCTGTCTCTCAAAGCAAATGAGCCACTGATTCCCTATGTTACCAACAGCTGCACTAGGATAACACTGATCTTCTGACCCTCCCTAGCATACCCCTACACCCCATTAGGTTAGGTAGGACTTGGATATCTTGTCCATTTGAGAGCAGTTCAAAGGGGATCAGCACACACAGTAATTCCATCCCTTAGGGATCCCCCAAATTGTTGAAAATAGGGACTTAAAGAGATCCTTGTAGGCCACGTTCACAGTAGCATCAGTCACAATAGCTGAGAGGCAGAGATAAACTAAGTGTCGATGGATGAATGAAAGGATTAAAAAAATGTCATACCCACACAATGGAAAAGTATACAGCCTTAACTAGAGTGAAAATTCTGACCCACATGACAATATGGCTAAACACTGAGGACATTATGCTAAGTGAAATAAGCTAGCCCCACAGTGATAAATTCTGCATGATTCCATGTGCACAGGGCAGCTAGAGGAGATACTCCAAGGCAGAAGAGAGAATGGTGATGGACAAGTAAGGGGAGATGGGATGTTACTCCATAGAGACAGCTTCAGCTGGGGACTGTGGGATGGGTATACACAGTGTGTATCCATTTAACTGTACCCTCGAAACATGTTACAATAGTGTTGTTTTCATTTATATATGTCACTACTATTAAAAACAACCAACCGAAAGCAGAGGAGTGATGAGGGTCTCAGGACAGCAGGGGGGTAGGGGCAAGGACATACCACAACTTTGATCTTCCTCTTACAGGAGGTCTCAGGGTTTTGAAGAGGTGGATATCTGGGGACTATGAGGTACCTCCATAGAGTCTTAGTGGCTTAATTCCTGTGCACCCCTCACATCTACCCATGCTCTGACAACTTGTGAATGGGGCATGCGCAGGAATGGTTCCATGGAGAGGTTGATGCTTTGGCCTGTGGAGGCAGTCCTTGGGTACTATAGACCCACCTCTGCCTATGTCTGGGATTGCCTTCCCTGCTGGGCGCTAGGCCTGTGACTACAGGCCAGGGAGTACTGGTACCTCTCACATCCACCCCCCAGCAAATGTGCCATCCATGATTGAACCCAGGGAACCTGGGAATTCCAGACTCCTCTGAAAAACCTGACTGGCCCCTTCCTAAAGGAGAAACTGAGTCAGGGAGAAGCAAAAGAATAACTCAAGTGTTAGCAGGTGGGTGGACAATTGAAGAAGACAACTGTTTGCATCCCCATCCTTCCTCCTGTTTGTGGAAGAACAGCTTCTGTAAGCAGGGCCCTCTCTGTATGGAATCTCTTAGTCGGGTGGAGCGGTGAGACCCACTTGAGCTAGGCTGGAGCCCTGCCCTGCCCAGGAGATGTCAAGAACTAAAGCCATTGTCACTTGTCCCCTGTAAGATTCCCCAAAGCTTGTTAGGAGCGCTCTAATGAGTCCTGATTAGCAATGGCCCCATAAAGGCCTAGTTTGCATATAAAAAGGTTGGCAGTTCTGAGAGGAAGTTCATTAATAATAATTGGAGAGGCCCAGGGATGGGCTGGACACATCTTCCTCTAAGTAATGTTGATGTTTGACCCCAGCACCCCTGCTTAATTGAAATGTAAAATGGCAATTTTCCCCTAGGCAACAAGGCATGAAGAGGCCGTCTCCACCACCCTGCCCTTCCTCCTACCCATCATACCAGACTGACCTGCTGCCTGCTAAGATGCCAGGTGTAAAGCTACCTACAGACTCGGACCTCAATGAGAAATGTCAGAGAAGGGGCCACAATCCCCCAGGACTTGAGTCTGAAGCCCTGTTTCCCAGCCCAAGGGCTTAAGAACTCTGACACCTTGGTCATCGATATTTGGGGTCCCTCAGAGATGCTGAGAATTAAGTTGTGTAGCTCATGGTTCTTTCTGAAACAAGAAGAGTGCACTTGTCATTGGCTGGCCTAATTCCGGGGATGAGCAGTCTTCTTCCAAATGTGTGTTCTGGAGATTTCACAAGTCACCATGTGCAAGGTGGCTGGCTCAGTGAGTGTTTCCTCTTTCCTTGTCTCCTTCAGCTCAGGTTGGGGCCTATCCCTATTCTGTTCCCCGTTTCTACCTCCTGTCCGCAGGACCCATCTAGCACACTCCCATCTCTGCCTTTTCCAGAATTATAGCATCAGTTCTCAGCAGCATAGCCCAGCCTTCTAGACTTCATGTCTCTTGCTGGGTCTGACTCATCCCAGTACCTTCCAGTGCCTCAAGCATGGGAGCGACAAGCAGAGAGGCAGATCCTCTGTCTATGGCTCTCCTACTGGGAATCCTCTCTCTGGGACTGTTCTGCTTTGGTAGGCAGGACCCTGGAACCTTGAAATGGGTTAGAATGGCATAGCTTTTATTTGTATATTTCACCACCACTAAAACCAACCAACCAACAAACCTATAACACAAAAGAGTGGCAAAGTCTCAGGAGGAGTACTGGTGAGGACACACCACAGTCTTGTTCCTCCTCTTACAGGAGGTCCCAGGGCTCTAAAGAGATGGACCTCTGGGGACCACACCATATCCCCTCAGGGAGTCTTAGTGGCTCAATCCCCATTCTCCATTATCTGGTCCCCTGCATCTATCTATCAGGAGATATAACACCCTGAAGTTACATTGCCATATGCTCTGAGGCAGGAGACCCGCTAGGCAACCACATGGCCAAACCCTCTCTTCACCCATAAAATGAAGACGTGGTGTAGACTAGGAGATTTTTATAGTCCTGGATATTAGCGCGTACTATAAAAAACACATTTGGGCTTTGTCCCTGGTTCCTGGCACACAAGCTTCTAAAACCCTTGGAGTTTCTTGAATGATTGTGGTAACAGGAACGTTCTGTTGTTCTCAATAAGCCCACTTCAACCGTACTCGAGCTCATCTGAGTGAGGATGGGAACTATTTGATAGCCCACTGTGGGATGACAGGATCTTCCCAGATGCTGAAGAAGAGAGAGGAACTAAAGGTTGAGTTCAGGATCAGTGGCCAGCGTGGCAGTGGATGTTGGGAGAACCATTCAAGTACAACATTGCAGATCACATTGAATGCATTTCTCCTCCTCCGACCTTTCAACTGCTCTCTGGAGTAAACACGCTGGTTGAACTTCAAGAGGAGTTACTCAGCCATGCCTGCCCAAAGGGACTGCCATAGGAACCCCACTGGTTACAGGAACTTGCTACTCTTTCAGAGGACCAGAGTCTGATTCCTAGAACACACACCAGGTAGTTCATGACCATATGTAACTCCAGCTTCAAAGGATCTGATACCTTCTTCCTACCTCCTCTGGTATCTGCATGTGTGCGTGCACACATACATACACACAAGATAAATTGGATAAATAAATAAGCCTTTTAAAAAAGGGACCTTACATGGAAAAGTTCCTGGAACTTCCTAGTTGGCCAACAGAGGTAGGGGTCTGCACAGGAAGCAGGAAAGAAGGCCCAGGCTCCTGCTCACAGACCCTGTTCCCCACAGTTTTCATTGGCTGTTCATCTGCATCCCTTTTGTAGTACCCTTTCTGATAAACCAGGAAATGAAAATAAATGTTTCTCTGAGAGCTGCGACCCGTTGCAACAAAGTATTAAATGTGAGTTAGGGTGTAGTGAGAGATCTATCAGACGCACCTGCCGCACTGCCTGACCATGCCCAAATCCCATTCCAGTCCCCTGTTGTACAACCACAGAAGGGGTTTAGGGAGCCCAAGTTACAGCCAGTTGGTCAGACGCACAGGTGACCATGTCTTGTGACTGGCATCCTAAGTGGGGGTGAGCGTGTGGAACTGAGCCCTTTAACTTGTGGGATCCGACAGTAACTCCAGTAAATAGCATCAGAATTGAAGCAAACTGCAGGCTTCCTAGCTGGTGTCTTAGTAAGGAAAAGTGACACAGGTGGTGTCATGATGTGACATATGGAAAAGAATGGTTTGTTTTTCTTTCTGTCCTAGCCCCATTATTAGCCCAATAGATGATCTGAGATTCATCAATAGAAT